GCAGCCTGGGAGGGACCAGCCGCACCGGTGCCCCCCCAGTGAGGAACTTCCAAACGAAATGCTTATTGTGGAACCCTGCATGAAATCGTTGTTACATGTGGGCATTTGAATCTAACCAAAACTGGCCAAGGGTTTTGAAATAAGTGCCCCTTCCACATGAAGATGAAGTTGCTAACGGTACCATGTCATCTCTGTCCCGTGTGACAGCCGGGAGGGCCTCTCTCCCCAGAGCAGTCTGCAGTGGGCTGCTACCGGGAGGGCCAGGGCGAGGAACTGGCTAATCCCTGGGAAGCTCGTGTCCTTAGGATGAACATATGGATCTAGAAATGGACCCAATGCTGACTTTTGACAAAGGGGCCAGGAATTCGGCAGGGCAAGGGTAACGCTGGGATAGCTGGATGGCCCCACACAAAGACTAATTTAGACGCTTACACACACACAAACCAGGAACTCGAGATGGACCTGAGTGTGTGAGCTAAAACCGTGAGGGGGACGTGTTGGCAGGTAAGCACATGAAGGAAAGGAGGTGAAGAAAACACCCCCCTTATTTCCCACAGGGCATGGAGAACACTGAAGAATGATTGAATTGAGCCAAATCGCTACTTCTTTGTTACAAAGGCAGAAAATGAGACGCCCTAAGGTAAAAGAAATTAAAAAATTTAATCCTTCTTTGTTCCCTAAATGAGACTTAAGTTGTCATACCAAGAACAGTCTGTGCGCTACAAGGTACGTGTTCCTGCAACGTCTTATTATCAGGGTGTGTGGTTGGACAGGGAAACCCGTCCTGTTGAAGTCGCGTGGGTCAGGCATGCTTCTTCCCAGGAAGCTAACGCATTCTCTCACAGCTACAGAGAAAAGGAGAACGCCCTTTAAGTGCAAGGGCTGGCTGGCTCAGGGGTTCAGAGACCAGTGCGGTGACAAAACACCACTGCCTGACGAGGCTCCCTCAGATATATATGTATGTGTATGCATGTGTGCATATATATTTTCTAAGGGTAAGTGAGAAGAAAGTTTATTTGAGAGCTAGACACTCCCTGCAGCGGGGAGAGGACCCACGTGGGCTGCCCCTATATCCTGTTTCTAATATTGGTGAAAAGGGTTTCTACGAAAAGCAGCTCATTTCAAGGACGTGTGTCTGAAAGGAAGAAACACAAACCCGAATGCTTAAGGCTACAGAGGCTGGACCGACTAATTCTCAGCGCAGATACTTGTGGAAATCTAGGATCCTTGCTTTTGTGTCTGCTCAGTTACAAAGTTCCAGGCCTATTTCCCCCACAAGGCATTTCATTTTTGGGGCATGATTCTGCAGAACCAAGGTTTTCATCTTATTAGGTGCCATATAAAGAATTCATTAGGCCACAATGATTTCTCCAGTTTTCTCCAACTGTGAAGTTACCCTGACACTTAACAGACAGCAAGCAATAGTGACTTTCGGGAAGTATTAAAATAAATGGTTGTGGCCCTGGCTGGTTTGGTTGTCGGGCGGAGCATCTTCCTGTACACCAAAAGGTAGCGGGTTCAATTCCCAGTCAGGGCACATACGGGAGACACCTGGTCAGTGTTTCTCTCTTCCGCTCTCAAAAATCAATTAAAAAATAAAGTAAACAGTTCTAGTCTGAAACAGTGGTGTTCTGAACACCAGAGTTCTGGCCAGAGCAAGCACTGGCTGATGTCACAGCCCCCTGACCGGCATTTCCCCTTCAAGCCAACCTCTCCACATCCTCACCAACACGGGTCATTTGCTTTTAAAATTACACCGCTCCACATGCGTTAGGACAGCAACCTCACTATGGTCTTGCACTGCATGTCCCTGATGACTCGCGATGCTGAGCGTCCCAGGTACACATCTGCGGTCGGTGTATCTTCTTGGAAGAAATGTCTACTGCAGTTCTTTTTTTTTATCCTCACCCAAGGACATTCTTGCATTTATCTTCAGATAGAGCGGGAGGGAGAAAGAGAGAAAGAGAGAGAGAAACATCGATGTGACAGACACATTGAGTGGTTGCCACTCACACGACCCCAACCGGGGCCAGGGACAAACTGCAACCGAGGTCCTTGCCCTTAGCGGGAACTGAACCCGGGTCTCTCTGGACTGCGGGCCAACACTCCAACCGCTGAGCCAAACCAGCCAGGGCTGTCTTTGTCTTTTTTTCTTTATCCTCACCCGAGGATATTTTTCCATTTTTTGTACAGATAGAGTGGGAGGGAGAGAGAGGAAGGGAGAGAGAGAAACATCGACGTGAAAGGGACACATCGAGTGGCTGCCACCCGCAGGACCAACCAGGGCCGGGGACAAACTGCAACCGAGGTACGTGCCCTTAGTGGGAACCGAACCCGGGTCTCTCCGGACCGCAGGCCGACGCTCTAACCGCTGAACCAAACTGGCCAGGGCTGTCTTTTTCTTTTGATGGACTCTGGTTTCATATCCAAGAAAACACCACCAAACCCAGTGTCCTGAAGCTCTGCTCCGGTTTCCTTAGCTTCATAGCTACAGCTCTTACAGGCAGGTCTCCCTCCACCTCGAGTTAACTTTTCTATGTATCAGGTAAGAATCCAACCCCATACTTCCTGCATGTGGATGTCCGGTTTCCCCGATGTGATTTGAAGATGCTCCTGTCCTGGTAAATGGTTTGCCCTGCTGCTGGTGTTGCTCAGGTCACCATGTTTCATTCCTGTAATTCCAACATCACAAGGCCTTGAACAGAGTATGTTTCAGACACATGGATGGTGACTGACTTGGTTAGTCAGACTTGGGAATTGTGTAAAGAATATGGTCTCAAAGTTCTCATTCTGATGACCATTTGTGTTTAAAATTAAAGAATGAGCCCTGGCCGGTGTGGCTCAGTGGTTGAGCGTCAACCTGTGGGCCAGAGAGTCCCAGGTTTGGTTTCCGCTAGGGGCACATACCACAAAAAATTAATAAAATAAATAAAATTCCCCAATATTAAAAAAAAGAAGAAAAAAAAAAAAGAATAAGCCCAGCCAGTGTGGCTCAGTGGACTGAGTGTCCTCCCAGGGATTGAGAAGTCCCAGTTTAATTTCGGGTCAGGGCACATCCCCAGGTTGTGGGCTCGATCTCCAGTGTGGGGCATGCAGGAAGCAGCTGATCGATGTTTCTCTCTCTCCCTTCCTCTCTCTCTAAAAAAAAAAAATCAATAAAAAGATATCAAACTTAAAATAAACAAATGGGTTTTTCTTCCAAGTTCTTGTAATTATGAATCTTGCCTTTTTGCAGGCTGTGATAAGTCACTAGTGAACAATAATTCCTATTCAAATTGTTTATGAAATGAAAAACAGTACCAAAACCTTAAATGGCGTTTATTGGCTTCTGCCAATGTTTTCCACTTTCTAGCAGTATATAGTCTCAGTACCTGTCTCAGTTGTGTATAGGGCAAAAATAGTGTAGATATAAAACAAAAATAACGTCTTGCAAATGCCAATATTAAAAACAACTCACTTAACACATTCTCTACATAGGTACTGATTTTGTTCATTTAACAAGGATGTTATTACTAATGCTTTCTATGTTTTATTATTTTAGGATTTTTATGAAGCAGACCCAGTCTCTAGAAAAGAAAACCAAGTTGGTCATCTAAAAAATCTCACAATTTCCAATCAAGAGGATTTAGTCTTCTGTTTCCATTAAAATCTAACTTATGGTGGTGCTAATCTAAGTAGTACTGTGTGGGAATAAAATACAAAAGTAGATATATTTTTTCTCAAAAATCTTTACATAGATTTGTAAGTTTGTTTTACATTCTTTGCATGTTCGCTGTGTTAAATCTGCAGTATTACTAAATGGCCAGCCTCTTGGTGTCTGGCCTCTCCCTGGGTTGAGACATTGGCACATCCACCAGCCATCCGGTTGGGCCAAGCGGGGGGGGGGGGGTGTGGGGGCAGCTGCAGTGGGGCCCCTCGCCCTTGCATAAAGCAGGTCCCGGAAGATGATGAACCACCTCCATGTGCAGGGTGTCTACCACTAGGTCTGAGTCTCTGGGTCTGCCTTCCCTTTATTCCTGAGCTCTTACGGAGTTTAGTTCTTAGATAAAGGGGATGCAAATGCAGCTGCAGGAAGATTTTGCTTTGAAAACCTACCGAGGAAGTATTTCCAAATGTCTTGATTGACTAAACCATCCCATCCATGGGCCAACGGTGGAGACACTGAGGGCACGTCCTCCCCTCTCCTTTTGTGCTCCTGTCAACTCTTCCATGTGATTTCACAAGTGGCTGCTGAGACAGTTGCCAGTTCCAGGAGTTTACTTATGTTTTTAGCTGAAACACTATTCCTTGAATGATTGCTTTTATTTAAGACAAGCCTTTTAAAATTGTAATACATTATTTCATTTTAACTTGGCTTAAATGATGGTTCCCCTTCCATGCAACATCCAGGCCTGTGAGAGGCAGGGCCATGCCTTGGGTTTCAGGGCAGCAGGTCCTCGAGTAACATTGTAGCATTTAATGTCATTTTGTTACGACATTGATGAGATGCCCCAGGAACTTAACTCTTTATTTGAGTAGTCTGTGGTAAAAATGGTTTCATTGTATGTCATTTCGCCACCGCCCTAAGAACCTATTGACAACGTTAAGTGAGGTCGTACTGGACTCCTATGGTTTCTACTGGGTCAGCTTTTCTGTTCTGCACCAAGGTGACAGCCTTGTGGTCAAATGAATTTTCCATTCAAAACAAGCACCAAGGGCGTGGCTATAAAAAGGAGCCCTCTGTTAACCTCAAACAGTACATGAAGTGACCCTGCAGCAGACTCTCCTTTAAGGAGTAACAAAATATTTCATATATTAATTTGAAAAAGTAAAATAATCCATTCAACCCCTAGGCTCATATTTTTTAAGTTTCTCAGTTTTTATTTTATTTATTATTATTATTATTATTAGTGGTACGTGCCCCTAGCAGGAACCGAACTCGGACTCTCTGGTGCGCAGGCCTATGCTCAACCGCTGAGCCAAACTGGCCAGGGCTGAGTGTCTCAGGTTTAAATCCCCTTTCCTCTACTGCTTAACCAGCTCTGGCCAACATCACGGGACAAAGACAACGGACAAAGTCTTCCCTTTTGTGCTATGTACGTACATCCAAGGGCTCCCATTCTGAGGCACTGTCTACTTGATAATCGGTACCAGTGTTAATTTTTAAAAAGTTAATAGCTAAACAAACATGGCTAAATATATTCACAGACTAACAGTTCTATGACAATCAAACTTTTCTTGGTACTTTCTTCAGAACTAAGACTGAGGGTTACTATAAAACAAGAAACTTCTAAGTATTTTCATCACATAAACAGGAAGAGAAAAATCTTTCGAGGTGAAAACGGAGAAGAGTGACTAGAGAATGTCACTAAGAATGTGACAAGCGGAATGTCACGCCTGGCTCCCACTCACCGCGCACGACGCTCTCCGGGTCCGAGCCGCCGCAGGGCCGCACCAGCGGGTCACCCCTCAGGCGGATGTGCCGACAAGCCACCCTGTAAGGAAGACCTGGGGAAGGTGGCTCAGGCGAGACCGATGTCCCTTTCTGTCTTGTAAAGAAGTCTGAGGGGAAAAGAAACTCTTCCTCACAGTAATACAACACTACTTGTTCGTCTTGGGAATTTATTTCACTATTAACTTTATAGAGTGCTAAACAAAATAGTTCTTTACTATCAAATACGTGAAAAGTCAGTAATTTTGTTATAGCTTCTGAAAAACTTGGTAAAACTGTAAAGCAGAGAAAGATTTCTCAAGCCATCGAATGCTTTTCTCCTTTATTAGGGGAGAAACACGCCCTGGCGATCCTGCCCCCCACCTGCACTGCAGAGGCGGCCCCGGGCGTCTGGGCCCGTCCTGGGCGTACACAGTCCCCAGCGGGAGCCGAGTTAGACCCGCGCCCAGCAGCCTGGTGCGTGGCCGCGGCCCTGGTCCCTCCGGCTTCTGCTCTGCACTGAGCGACACACACAGCTGCCCTCACCTACACATTGGAAACTACCCCGAAGAAATCAGAGCATCAGAGCTACAAAACAAGTACACAGAACAGCATTTTGGGGGACACAGCCCGGGCCCCTGGCTTTCTGCAGGAGACCCGGCGACAGGCTTCACTTCGCCGCCCCGAGGTGCACCAGCGCCATCACAGTGGTGTAGCTGTGGAACAGGTCGGCGCCCTTGACCTCGCCACACTTCTGCAGTATCAAGTTCCCAGTGACGACGCGGTCACACCCGATCTCTCCGTTTCCGAAGAAGCCGAACAAAGGAACCGTGGGGAACAGCTTCCTGAAGGCATCGGCCTCCACGTTGCCCTTGGCCCTGTAGTACTGCGAGCCGCGGCCCACGCAGGCGAACATGAAGCCCACGCTGTTGCGCTCCGGGATGCCGGCGGCCTTGAGGCGCTGCAGGGCGGCCTCGGCGCTCTGCCCGTCCCCCACGTCCTCGCTGAGCAGCACGGTGGCGCCCTGCACCCGCTGGCCGCTGAAGGACAGCCCGACCACTCCGGTGGCATCGATGTCCAGAGGGTGCCTGGAAAAAACCGCAGACCACCGGGAATTCATCTAGAACACATGAAAAGTCCTCCGACGCCCTGGCAGGCAGTGCTGCCCTCGGCGATGGGGGCGCAGGGGGGCCCGAGACCAGCGCAGCAGAGGAAGGGCGGAGCCAGGCTGTGCAGTGAGCCACCAGCTTCCCGTCCCAGACACAGGAGGACAAAGAACGATGTCTGGTGTCACACCCGGCCTTTCCCGTCCCCATGAACGCCGGCCGAACGGACAGGCCCTGGTGGGTGCCTGGGCAGGACGGCGGAGGACCCGGAGGGTCACCGCACTGCCTGCCTTCCTCCACCGCGGCCTGGTGGGAGGAGGGACTTCAACCACCGTGTGGCCCTGCTCTCCAGGTGGGGAGGCCTGTCAGCCGCCTGTGTGAACTGGCTGCTGGGGGAGGGCTCCCTGGGGGTCCTGGCTCTGGGAGGGGGAAGCAGCCTTTAGTCCAGCTCTGTCTTGTACTTTAAAAATGTCTCTGAAACCTCTCCGTCCCTTGCCGAGCTTTGATTTCCAAGAGGACCCTGCTGTTTTCTGTGCTGTGTCTGACAATAAGGCAAGAGGGAAAAAATAAAAACAAAAACAACCCACGTAACGAAAGTCTGAGAACACTTCCGACAGCAGAGAAACCAGAAGCACGCCAGACGTACCTTCCGGAGGTCAGTGACGCCAGGTTGTCCACCTGGCCTCCGGCCACCACGACGTCCAAGCCGCTGAACGTGCTCACCACCCGCTGCAGGTAACTGCTGGCCCCCACCTTGCAGCAGTTGTAGCCAAACACCAGCACCACCCGCAGCTCGGGGTTACCCAAAAGGCCTGCGGAGACAGGAAGGGCAGCTATCAGACCCGGCAGAGAAACCGGCATTTTACATTTCCTTTACTGAAACTTTATTTTCTGTCTCACCAATGACAGTCTCCCTGGCTCAGCAACAAGCCACACCCGCTCCTCAACTTGCCCTCACTGCACTCTGAGAGCTGTACCCTGCAGTTCCTCCTGGACAACAGACCACAGACCCCACGAGTTCCACCTGGCACAGGGGCTGTGAGGACGAGAAGCAGCCAGTGCCCAATGCCCAGCTGACGCCGCAGCAAAGGTCAGCCGTCATCACCTGTCCCACCAGCCGGCGTGCGCGTGCTTCTGACCCAAGACCTTCCCTGAACGTCCCTCCCTGAGCTGCACACCCACCTGCCATCCGCCTGTCCCTGCCGGACCACAGGGCCATGCAGGTGGGCCACCCATGGTGTGACTCACTGTGCGTCTGCCTGAAGGGCCGCCGGTGTCGGCCGACTGCCTGCCCTCCACGGAGCCAGGTGTTTAGTTAAGTGCTTGATGTGAGCCACCCCGTTTAACACTCGTGACTCTAAGTTAGTCATTTCCACTCACAGATGAGGAACCAGATGCTCAGAAAAGTTAAGGAACGTGCCCAAAAGTAGAAAGGGGAAAACCCAGAGCAGTGACAGCGACACTCTCCTGCCTCCCACCACAGACGCCCCGCAGTCCCCCTCCACCGGGCTCTGCCCCCGCCATGCTCCCAGAGGCCTGCTGTCCCGGCTGCCAGGCTTGGAGCCAACGCCGGCCCCTCCCCACTCTCTCTGTGAGGGATGGTGGCACATGCGTCTCGGTGTGCACGCCTTCCCCCTCGATTATCACACCAGTCTCGGATCCCCTCCACGGCTGCACAGGTGCTCACTCCCATGGTTCGGAGCTATGCCTGTAGGCTGGCTGACACGCGCATGCGCGAGGGGTCACCGCTGGGCAGTTTCTATGCCAACAGTGATTTTTATGGTCGATGCTGATCGGTTCGTTTGCAGATGCAGATGAAAGGCCTTAGCACTGCTCTGCCTGAGCCACCAGTCTCTTGCTTACTGTTAGTGACATTAAGCTCTCATCAGGCTGAGATACGGAGCCACTCAGTCTTCAGAACGACCTCTCAGGTCTGGCCCACGTTGGCCAAGCCTCCTAGGGGTGTGGTCCTGCTCGACAGTCCGCCTGAACTCACCCCCTTTCTGAAACGAAGCGCACTGCACTTGCCACGCTGATCACTAGTTGGAATCACCCAGTAAGGTGCACGCCCTTCGGACTCGCTGACACAGCACCGGCGAGAGGGGGAATAAATGGTGAGAAACAGGGACTCACCTACTTCAGTGAGTTGACGTCTTTCTAGTGTTAAGTTCTTTGGATCCTTAATAAAATGAAAGGGTTGTATTTTTATTCCTTCAACTTGAGGGAATAGTAGAGCAAAACCAGATTCTCCAATTTCTATTTCCTGAGGTCGGTTGCTGCCTGATCCCATTGGGGTCACTAGGAAAAAGGGAAGCAGTTCCGTCAACAGTCAACAACAACTGAAGTTTCATTTCACGACGGTGTCAGCACCCACCCCACCTAGAGCACGAAGATCGACAGGCCACTCTCTGAGCAAGCTTTCAGCTTTGACATTTTTTTTAGGGTTAGAGTCATGATGTCTGCAATTTACTTTCAAATGATTCAGAAAGTAATGTATTTTAAGCAAACACAGAACTAGCAAAGGTTGCAGATTTTTTAAAACAGTGAATCTAGGTGAAGGGTATGTGGGTGTTTATTGTACTGTTATTAACTGTTCTATAGGTTTGAAGTTTTTCTAAATAAAAAGTTGGGGGGGGGGAGTAAATACTTCTTCACAGCAATTCTCCTTTAAAAATTTTACCCTGGGCCTGGCTGGCGTGGCTCAGTGGTTGAACATTGTCCCATGCACCAAGAGGTCACCAGTCCAATTCCGGTCAGGGCACATGCCCAGGTTGTGATCCTGATCCCCAGTGGGGGGGCATTTAGGAGGCGGCCAGTCGATGTTCTCCCTTATGGATGCTTCTATCTCTCTCCCTCTCCCTTCCTCTCTAAAATCAATAAAGAAAAAAATACTTGAAAAATTTTTTTTTATCCTGGGCTAAAACATTTGATCACTATATAAAGTATACATATACACACATACACACACACAGAGAAATACTCCTATTAGAGAATTTTGATAACAAATGAAAAGAAAAACTGAGCCCTGGTCAGTTGCCCAGTGGTTAGAGCATCAGCCCGAGACTAAAGGGTCTGGGGTTCAATTCCCGGTCAAGAGCAGGTACCCGAGTTGCAGGTGTGATCCCTGGCCCCAGTGGGGGTCGTGTGGGGGGCAATCAATCAATGTGTCTCTCTCACATTGATGTTTCTCTCTCTCTCTCCCTGCTTCCACTTTATCTAGAAAACAATGGGAAAACATCCTCCAGCGAGGATTAAAAAAAAACCCTGCACTGGTAGCTCCGGCTGACTCACTGCACAGCCCTCCGGCGGCCCTGCTGACGCCTCCGGCACGGATGGAGCAGCGAAGCTGTGAGGCGGGCCCTGCGCAGTCACACCAGCACCAGGTGGACAGCCAGGTCCCAGTCCAGGCGTCTCAACCGCCTCAACTGCCTGGGCTCAGTCCCTCCCATGAGCCACAGAGCACAGTCAGATACATGAACAACAGCGGAAAGTCAGAGCAGCAAACCTGGGCAGGGCCCTCCTCATGCTGCCAACTTCCAACAGTAGTGGCGAAGCACAGAAACAAATTTCCCAGTGAGGCCCCCTCACCCCGCCCACCAGAAACAGGGACCAAGTGAGCATGCTCACTGAGGCTATACTGGAGAGAGGCAGAACACGTCTGCCCGCTGGTGAATGCTCCCGGAAAGATGCAGAGCAACTGGTTTACAGACAGCCCGGAGATGTGACACTGAGCACACTGATCCGGTCCAAGGTGACCATGGTGAACACGACTGCCTTTGATGGACCTGAGATAGCCCAAAACATCACTGTGCTTTTAGGCCGCGAGCAGGGTGCCCATCTCTGGGACCCACAGCAACACAAGGCAGGGTCTCTCACCTACGATCCCTGGAGCCACAATCCCGAGGACCTGGCACTGTTTCGGGAAGAGTTTCTCCAGGGCAACTGCTGTATCCATGGTGGTTCTTTTCCTTGCTGCAAAGACAGGAGCAAAACAATTCAGTGTCATCACTCAAGGCCAAATCTGATGGTGTGGAGGGAAAAAGGCAAATCCTGAATCAAGTTTAAGTCATTTTACACCAGAATGCTTTATAAGGAAGTCTAAAGTGCTGGATGAACACAAACGTGCTCCTGTTTCGGGCCTGCTCTGTTTTAATTCTAAACCTGACCGTCAGCTCTGCCGGCCTGATGACACCAAGCTCTGCTGCTGTAGCGCAGGCAGCCACATGGATTCAGTCGGACGGCAGCCCAGGGCTCAGGCTGGGACACGACTGTGCTTCTCTCAGCGAGCAGTGGCACTGTCTACATGCTCCTTTGGTAAACAGTCCCCATCACCAACACAATAAAAGGCTTCAAGAGCCAAATACACACCGTCAGAGTGCCCGGAGGATCAGTTTTCACAAGGAAAATGCCTTTGTAAAGAATCTGTCTCAATGGTACCACAAGGTTCAGAAACCAACTGTGAGGCAAAGAGCTCTTTGAGCTTCAAAGACAATATACCCATGCATCCGAAGGGACTAGGCCCAAAGCCTCCGAAAGTCAGTAACTCTCAGGACCAGGAAATATTTACTCCAAACAGAAGACACATCAGGAAACAATCACACCCACAACTTTTCCTTTGGATATTCACCTCTCTTGTGTCCTCGACACTCTTCCAGGCTGATGAAGGTGTCGGAATCGGCCATGTACAGAACTGTCTGTGGCAGGATGTGAACATTCTGAGGAGAAAAGACAGAGCACAAAGCTGAGTACCTTTGTGGCTACTTCGAGCTCCACCCAGGAGCCGCCGCCCTCCCTCCTCCTGACCCGTGCTGGCATCGAGTCCCTCCCCTTGGCATGCACTGCCCACTCACGCTTTCCTTCTCAGCTCAGTCATCCGTTAAACATCCATGACTTCTTCAAGTCACTCATTCCAGACTAACTCAAGAAGTTAATTTTCATAATTTAAGCTCTTAAAAAATGCCACTTGCTTTATTGGAACAGGTGTTACAGTAACAAACGGCTCAGCAGCAGAGGAAGGTGCAAATTGGATCACACTCCTCACTTCACTGCCTATGAGGTAAGTCATCCGGGTCCTCACTCCCACGCACCGAGGGCCTGCGGGGCCCCAGCTCACGACTGCCAGCCATCCACGCTGCGCTCTGTCTCCTCGGGGCAGCTCTCTCCCTGTCCTGGGTGACTGCAGATGCTCCCTCAAGGGACATCTGAGAGCCCCCTCCTCCAGAAAACCTGTTCCCAGGCTCCCTCAGGACTTTGGACCCATAGCAACATCCCGTACATCCCAGCAATCCGCCACTTACAAGTTGGGCTTATTCAGACTCATGTTTTCCACTAAACTTCACAATATAGACAGGCGGCAAATTAGCTGAATTAAAGGAAAATAGTAAGTTTACTTATCTTTCTAAGCTGGTTCTTTTCAAAGATATTTTACTAATGGAATGGGGTAGTAGCATATAGCAAAGCTTCAATGTTGATAAAATAAAAAATGCTGACCCATTATAATTTGAGGGAATGTTAAGATGTTTCATATTAGATTCTGTAAAGGCAAATTCATAAAAGATACTGACACAGAATGATGACACTGGGGTGACCTGGATAAGTTTCCTTGGTCCACAAGGCATTTTCAAAAAATGTAATGTGGTGGCCAACATTTAAAATCCCACAAAACATTTACATAAAATGTGGATTTCCACATTCTTTTGAAAAACTAGACATTTTCGGGAACACCTGGACCACGTTCATTCCCCTTGACCAGGGTAAGAGGCACGCGTGCTCTGGACCCCCACGGCCCTGCCCTCCTCTGCTGCTTCCGAGATTCCAGACCCACCTCAGACACTGTCTAACTCTGAAGCCCTTTGAGTTTGTGATGCCCAACATAGTGAGAAAAGGAGAGAATTTAAAGGTTCAGATGTTAGTGCTGACCCTCCATAAACCAGCAGAATAACCCTTACAGGTGTCTAGGCCTTAGGTTTCCTGTTCTTAAAGATTAAAAGTCCAGGTCTGAGGTTTTATGATTCTCTCTTTTCTGATAGCAATGGCTGAATTTTCCTTCCCAATTCTCTCTAGAAGCCGTGACCACGACAATCCTCATCATGAGATGATTACAAAGCACAAGGCAAGACAACTAGAACCTCATTCCATGAGGTTCCAAATGGCAAGATGTTTTATAAAAATTTTAGTGGACTTGAAATTTTTTTTTAATCCTCTCCCAAGGATATTTTTACATTTATCTTCAAACAGAGTGGGAGGGGGAAAAGGGGGAGAGAGAGAGAGAGAGAAAGAGAAACATCGATACGAGAGAGACACATCAATTGGTTGCCACCCGCACGATCCCAAGCGGGGCCGGAGATGAACCACAACTGAGGTGCATGACTTTGGCTGGAATTGAACCCAGGGCTCTTTGGTCCACAGGCCGACGCTCTAACTGCTGAGCCAAACTGGCCAGGGCTAAAATATTTTTAATAAAAAAGTTAAATCAACTTTCTTTATGGCTATAAACGTATCATGTCCACTAGATAATGTGGCAAACAAATTATCAAGAAAACAGCATGTACGATTTGGACAAGGTTTTCCATGTTTTCATCTCACCTCACCAGAGTTTATTACAAGTATAAACCTCCTTAAGGGTATTACTGTGTAAATTTTTTAACAGCAATACTAATAACAGAGAATAATAATCTCAGTTATTGAAAACACTACATTCCTGGTACTCTATGTAATGCATTATATGCACTATCTTTTCATTATTTAATCCTTACAACAATTCTATAAGGGTATAAAGGGAGTTATTATTCTCTGAGGCTCACAGAGGCTAGGTAACTTTTTTTTTTGGTACATGCCCCTAGCAGGAACTGAACCCAGGACTCTCTGGTCCACAGCTAGGTAACACAGCTAATGTGTGCCAAAGTGGGCTCATGCCTAAATCTGCCTGGCTATAGCAGCCATTACAATATGAGAACTTTTAAAAGCTATATAAAAATAATACCCGCTGTGGTACAAATCTGAAGAAAAAACCAGAAAAGTTTTAAAAAACTTAAAAAAAAAAAAATCGCACAATTTGCCCAGCTGATGTGGCTCAGTGGTTGAGCATTGATCGACCCAAGCCCCAAGTGGTTCCCGGTTGGATTCCTACTCAGGGCACATGCCCGGGTTGCAGGCTTGATCCCCAGTAGGGGAAGTGCAGGAGGCAGCCGATAGATGTTTCTCTCTTGTCGATGTTTCTATCTCCCTCTCCCTTCTTTCTCTCTCTAAAATCAATAAAAAGATATTTAAAAAAAAAAAAAATCACACAATTCTACCCCCAAAGGAAACTTTTGCTAACATTTTGGCTTCTTTTTTTTCCCATTATGTTTTTAATAATTATTATACTGAACATATAATTTCATAATCTCCCTTTTAAACATATGACATCACATGTTCTCTTGTCATAATGCATCTTGAAGTTTATCATTTAATGACTTCATGTATTAGATGAACATTAGTTGCTTTTTATTTCCCTTAATTTAAATGATGCTCCAAAGAACATCTTTATATAAAAGTCTTTGCCTGCATTTTCAATTTTTTTTTCAAATGACAAACTTTTGGAAACAGATTAGGCAAGATTTGGGCCACAGTGCCAAGAATAAAGTTTTCTGCAAATCAGTAGCCTTTGGCTACTGGCCACTTTGGATCTGAGTGTCTGAGCCCAAATAGGATAAGAAGGAAATCCACATGGGAAAGGGGCATTCATCGAATATCTAAGTATATTAAGAAAGGTATAAGCCAAGTTTGTCACTGTCTAAAAGGGCAGGACAAATACAAGCTGAGAGAAAACTGGACAGAATCCTGATTAGAATTGGACGTATTTGTGTTTCACACGTGTGTGTGTGTGTGTGTACATATGTATATGTGTGCACACATGTGTATGTGTAAATGTACATGTGTGTATAGTTATAAATGTATGTATACATGGAGAGATGAACACACACACAGGCTTGCACATATTATATACATATATTCCTTGACACTGTTCACTGACTAGGCTTTGGAGCTGCACACCACTCAACAGCGTGAGGTGTCCAGATCTTGGATTCCAAATACCATTCTTCACTAAAAGGAAACGTCCAGCCTTTGGTGGTTGTCTGGTGGTGACGCTATGTCCTTGTTTGTATGTACTGCACACTAAAGTATAAAGAAGTGATAGGGCTTTGGGTGGGCAAATTACTCTCAAATGACTCCTCCCACTGGCAAGTGAGATAACTGCAGCCTCACTGGCACCTGTGCTCAGGAGGCTGCTCTCTAACTCTCCAGTTCAAGCTTCACCTGCCCAGGTACTGCCCATCACTGGAAACGGGGGCCCAGAAACACAACACAGAAGAGTACATAGGATTGGGGGTTGAAATATCTGTGTTAGAGATTGGTCCTTGGGTTTCTTATGTGGCACTAAGCTCGAGACCCAGTTGCCTTTCCTGCAAAACAATGACACCAATACTAGCTTCAAGGGAAGCCGGTAAAGGAGAGGTTCCGCATAGCATTATCATAATAGTAAAAATCTGGATAAAGTGCCCAACATTTGAGGAATAGTCAAATAAAACCATGGCACATCTTTATAACATACAGCCGTTAAACCCGATGGTTACAAAACCTTTTTTTTTTTCCTTTACTGATTTTCGAGAGAGAGGAAGGGAGAGGGAGAGATAGAAACATCGATGAGAGAGAACACCGACTGGCTGTCCCCTGCACGCCCCCCACTGGGGACCGGCCCACCACCTGGGCATGTGCCCTGACCAGGAATCCAACCGGGACCCCCTTGTGCATGGGTCGATGCTCAAGCATTGAGCCACACCAGCCCGGCTCGAAACCTTTTCACGCACTAAACAAGAAGCCCCTGCAGGAAGCCGGGGTAAGTTAGCTCTGCACTGCCCACCCACCCTGCAGAGGCCCGCGCGCCCCAGCCCTGCCCACTTGCCTGCAGCTCCCGGGCTGCCGCGCGGACCAGGCAGTGCTCCTGCGGGTGGCCGCCGTCCGCCGGGCCCGCCGAGATCCAGGCCACCCCGCGCTGGGCTCGCAGCACCCGGCGCACGCTCTCCCTCCACAGGCGGCTCACGCTGAGGGCGCGACCACAAAGGGCTGTGAGCGGGCGTCCTTCCCTCTCCCGCTCGGCCCCCGCCCCGCACACCCTGGGGGCCGAGCCCCGGCCAGCCCGCCGCCTCTCCTCACCCGGCCACCCGCAGCAGCGCCTTGGCAGGAAGGAAGGTGAGCACACGCTCCACCACCTCCGCCAGGTTACTCAGCACGAAGGCGCTCCCCGGGTCTGCGGAGCAGCCGCGATCGCCGCCGCCGCCCACCGGCTCCATATCCCCCCGGGTGCCGGCAGCAGGGCCCCCGCTCGGGCACGTTATGAAGCAGCACCAGCTCCCGACCAGTGCGCACTGCGCAGACGTGCGCGCCGCTTCCGGCCGGGGGCGGGACCGGGACTTCCGGGAGAGCGCTTCCGGCGCGGCTCCGCTTCGACGTCCGCCTCCTGGGTCAGCCCCGCAGGCACCGCAAAGCGCGGTCGGCTGCTTTTTCTCCCTTTCTCCAGCTCTCAGTCCCTGCAGGCGGAGACCGCACAGACAGCCCAGTGCCTGTGGTCTCCGTGAGCCCCGTTTTCCTCGGGCGGGACCTGCTTTAACAGCCCACCTAGGGCGTGGGAAAAGAGCGCTGCTCCCGTCCGCGTGTGGTCCGGCGGGCGGCCACCGGCATCGCTGTCCCCGCGTCGCACGGGCGCACCTGGTGCCCACCCCGCCGGCTGTTTCCACTTTCCCCGATGCCAGCTCGGGCTGAAAACCACGGGTGCAGGGAAAGCGAGCGCAGTGGACGCGCCTGTGCCCCGACCTCCACGCTCTGCTGGCGAAGCTGTGGCTCAATCCCCCAGTCATTGGTCTAAACTAGTGGGTCTCAAACTTTCTGGCCTCAGGACTCCTGCACACTCTTAAACACTAACAACCCCAAAGAGCATGTTTATATGGGTTATGTCTATTAATAGTTACCATATTAAAACATTTTAATATTGATAAATACATTACACATTAACAAAATAACATTTTCTTTTTTTTTATCCTCACCCAAGGACATATTTCCATTTTTGTTCAGGGAGAGTGGGAGGGAGAGAGAGAGAGAGAGAAACATTCACATGAAAGGGACACATCGAGTGGCTGCCTCCCACACGACCCCACCCGCGGCTGGGGACAAATCACAACTGAGGTACATGCCCTTAGCGGGAACGGAACCCCAGTCTCTCTGGACCGCAGGCCAAAGCTCTAACCACTGAGCCAAACCGGCCAGGGCCATAATAACATTTTCTATGAACCCCTCCCCTATAACATATTTACATTTTGCAAACCTCTAATTTCTGGCTTAGTAGAAGGCAGCTGGATTGGCTTCTGAATTCAGTCTGTGGCAACATCATGTCAGGTGGCCTCTGGAAAACTCCACTGTACACTTGAGAGAATGACAGACTGAAAATGGCAAATGATATTTCATTAGGAAAATAATTTTGACCTTCAAAACCTCTTAAAAGTATCTAGTGGGGTCTCCAGGGTTCCCCAAATGACATGTTGAGAACCATGGGTCCAAAATAATCATGATGGTTTTCATCCTTTTCACCAGACATTAGGTGTGGCCCTAGTTCTAGGTAAGGACAGGTGAGGGGCAGCATACTGGGGGGTGAGGGGGCTTCTACAGATTTCCACACCTTCCAAGGAGACAGGGCCATTATCTACCCCTGGATGAAGTACTGCACATCCAGACACAACTTTCATTCCAAAGGTGAAATTAACACAGAAAAATCTCAAAGCAGCAGCGGAGCCCAGATGTACTGTCCCTGGAGCTTTCCCACCTCCGGACTTCTTGTGAGGTAACTTGGCAAATGTGTGGAAGGAGCTATGGGTACACTAAAGAGGGAGCAGATTATTGTAACAGGGAACTAGGGGCAGCCGTAAGACTTTCTATTGAAGAATGAGCATGGGAAAGTGAAAAGGCTGAGGAAACTTTGGGTATACCATATCTATACACCCCATTTCTGGGGTCTGGAGCTTCCTTTTGTTACCTCAATCTGCTCTCTTCCTCTCAAGCCTTTCCTCACCCCGACGCACCATATGTAACCTGTTCCAGCAACTCAATGGAACCTACAGACTCCTGAAGCAGAGAGTATCTCTAATGAGGGTAAATGACAGCGTTACTTTTTAAATGATTCTTTATTTATAAACTTGATGCAAGTTTACAAAATTTACTGTACATTGCCAAATAAATCTGCAATGAAAAATAAACTCCCCCCCCCCCCCAAAAAAAAACAACAACAAAGCATGCCAAATGTGCAGCTCTCAATCTGCTGGCCATCAGGATATTAAAGAATTCAATAATGTATTCAAGATTTAGCCTTAGGTGTAAGGAACTGTAATGCTTTGAAGAATCCTGCTTTGTCCCTTCTCTGAGCAACTGTATCACAACTGTACACAAATGTAACCACGCTGACAAGAATGCCAGAAAATCTTCCTCTACTGTCCTCTCGGCCACAGCAAAAGAAGTGCCAAGTCTCCCCAATGTGGTTTACAAAGTTAAACACGGAATCTCAAAGCAAGTGCACAAGAAACACTTTTGAATTCTGTAAGTGGTTTGTGCAGAAAAATGTGCTTCTGGATTTCATTTCAAAAGTGCTTAATAACTAGAAGTTACTTTTAAATCAAACTTGGGTATATAAAAATCTATTACCAATTTAATAGGACTGATTCAGGTAAGGCAATAAAATGGAAAGTGTACTGATTTGAGTCAGGTTTTATAAAAGAATTAACATGTGTAGAGTTCCTATTAGTCTTTAATTAAAAGCCATTGTTATGACTATAGCAAAAAATTTAAGAGTCTCCAAATTAGGTATCTTTTGTACTTAACTGTGCAGCTTTTGTTCAAGGAGTCTGTGTGCCCATCACTTTATTAGTTTACAAACGATTGCAACATCCCGTTAATAAAATGGAAATGTAAAATGACTTAGTATTTTAAATAACTTCAAGATTTATAGTGCAGATCTTCAGAAGACATACTGAACCAATAACAGACTCAGCCCAGCACAACTGTGACGCCCCAGTGGAAAGTACTGCTACAAGTCTTCCTTGCTTACTTGGCCTGAACTTGCGCTTCACTTTGCCTAACAAGCACAGTACGGCTCAGTTAAGGGCTTATCTTCGGCAAACGGCTCCTATCTTCACATGGCCATAAAAAAGTTTAACAATTTATTGAGTAGGTTTCCTGTCATTATTTTGGCAATATCATAAAATTGTTTTAATCTGAAAAGGCTACTGTGATTTAGAAGGCCTTATATTTTCTAAACCAATATTAAACACCAAATAAAGCTTTACTGGCTCTAAGTCCTCGTAACGCACGAGCTTATTATGGAAAAGTTATCCTGAAGTCCTGACTTCAGTAACCTGATACTGACTTGCCTGCTTAAGAGATTTCATTTTTCAAGAAAAAGAGATGAAAAGGAGTGGCCAGTGTGTGTATTTATCAAGAAAAATACAGTAAAGGCCCCATTGCTGAGTCCAAGATACCTAAAGTGAGCAAAATGAGAAGGCTATAAACTTATACAGGATGTCAGGTGACAGATTATCCACTAAAAGATCTATGAGCTAACATCTTCAGTACTGCTGTTATAGGGGCACTCAGAGCTTGTCTGCACGGTGGAAAGATTTTCTTTAAAGCAACATTGGTCCAAACATATGACAGTCAACATTTAGCCATCTTCCTTTGGAGGGGTGTACCAGCCTGAAATACAATGGGGGAAAAAAACACTTTAATTCTTAAACTAAGTAGGAGTAATGATTTTCGTAAGGTTAACTGCTTTCTCTGCTCATAATTTTCATATTTAAACCTACTGCAAAAATTAAACTTACACTTGCGTTGGTAACAGCATTTTAATATGTTGACAATACTGATGCTCCTTAATTGACAATGGGGTTCTGTGCCTACTTTATGCGTGTGTCAGCCCACAGTGGGCACAATGATCTCACACAGTGAGAACGCTATGGAACACAAGTTGTTGACTCTTGAGACCCCTGCGTGAATGGGAGCTGCAGCTTGATGCCACTGTCCAGCGTCACGAGAGAATTACACCACATACCACCAGCCCGGGAAAAGATCAGAATTCAAATTCAAAATATGGTTTCTATGAATGCCTATCATTTCCACACCATCATAAAGTCAAGAACTCCTAAGTCAAACCACTGGAAGTTTCAGCCTGTCTGTATAAAGTTATTTTCTATGAATAAACTGTACACAAGTTTTCAACGTAAGATCTCTATATTAATGGCATTTCTAGCTAGAGATGAGTGTGGAATATTAGACTAACGCTAGGTTTTATATTCCATTTAGATTCCATAGTAAACCTCACTGAAAATAATGTACCCCCAAACAAAATCCACGCATTTTAGAACAAGAGGAACTTGGACCGTCACCAGTGGATGCTGTGGCCTCAGCACTGAGGAGGCCAGCTCAGCAGGTCACCAAGTGACTGTACCCGAGATCCACTAGCAGAAGCCAAACCACAGTCCATCTCCCGAGTCTGGGCCATCTGCTCTTTCACCACAGCTGACTCGCACACAGTCACTTTCCCTAATATAGAACTTTGTGTAACAGTTTTGAATGCTTACTACAATGTTTTATTTAAAAATAAGTTATCAATAAGAAAAATTCTGATTGTTTCCAGACTCCACAAAACTCGAAGCCCTAAGCAAACGAGACTACATTCTGTCAGGTGTGACACCGCCATTGGAACAGGGTAGATGCACTGAGGCTGGGGCGCATCCACATGGTTACAAAGGGTGTATGGACGTTTCTGCTCTACTAAGGTAGGGGCTGGAGAGGATTATGATGAAAATCCAGACTTGCCCTCAAGTGTCACCCTTTCCCTCCGCAGAAACTTGAACTCTATCCTGAACACAGGCAGACCTCGTTTTACTGTGCTTCACAGATGCTGCATTCTTGACACACTCAAGGCAGGACCTCCACCAGCAGAAAGATTACAACCTGCACACTCGCTGTATTGTGGTCTGCAACCAACCCGAGGTACCTCTGCGGGATGCCTGCACTATTCTTTCAGAAGTAAACAGTCACTGGAAAAGTAACAAGTTTCCTTTGTGATGAATAAAAGCAAGCACAAAACACAAGGCTTAAGTCGCAAGCTACAGTTTATTGTAAATACATACTTCCTAAAACTGTTTTGTATTTCTTTTTATCTATTTACTCTGCACACAAAAAGCATCTGTTTCCCATGCGTGGCTACAGTGAATCTCCTAAGCACTTGACTACAAAGATCTGCAGACATCCTGCCAATTTCACAGACCAGGGAACTGAGGCTGGAAGGTAACAGGACTTGTTCGGGGCCACAGAGCTAATGAGCGATACACCAATGGCACTGAAAAGAGGTCTTCTGATTCTAAGTCAACTTTTATTGCCTCACTGTTAGAGATAAAAACTCAAAACATGCATTGTGAATACAAGCAACATTTAGGTAAGGCCACTAAAGTTTATGAAGTATATTTTAGGACTTTTTAAAAAAATGCCACTCAAATACTCTTTAAGCAGATACTGATATTAGATCTTGACTTGAACAGATAAATGTGCACGGCTGTCAATCATTACATCGTCTGCAGGTGCTTCAGAACAACTGAGTTCGGGTCCTGGGCTGCATTCACTCAGTACGAACAAAAGATGTGTAGAGAGACCTTTACAGGCAACCTACTCAATTCCTGGCCTAATACCATAAACTTCAAATGAATACAGTGACTCATTCATTAATCTACTAAAAAATCTTGATTCTGAATCAGAGGTTCCCAGGTCAAGTATTTAGGACACCAGGACTTTGAATGAAACACAGTGTGCGTACCCTCAAGTAAATTTTTTCACTGCAGTAACTGTACCTTATAAGACATTAAAGCAAAAACAAAAGTAAAATAGAATATCAACAGTACATTATGTAAAACTCACAAATGGCAATAAATATTTATTGAATTAAACATACCATTTTTCTCGTGTATCTGTACAATGGAATTATAAGATTGTTGGGCTCTTGCTAGATTATATTGATTCTGAAAGAGAATTATACATTTTAAATCAAAACTCTAGGTAGACAAAAACCATGACAAATAATTTATGGATGTGTCATCACTATGCTTAAAAGAACACAGTAAACAATTGTATTTCCATTTCAAAAAGACTTTTAACTGAACACCCTCATTTCTCAATTTCATCATTCTCTACCATTTTAAAATAACAAAACCAAAATTGTACTCCAATAAAAATCTACAACCTTCACAGTTTATTTTCATAAGTCCTCCTACCACAGCACAAGTACAAATCTTTACAGTTCTGCTGTCCCTCTCCATATGGATGAATGGAGTTAATGGATGCTATTGGGACCTAAATAGAACTCAAACTCTCTTCCTCCTAACTTGTATCCAAAAATATAAAATGACAAAATAGTACCTTCAGATGAACAAACATTAAGCCTGAAGGACTATACATATTAATGGCATTCTGAGTTAAAAATCTAAAGAATGCCCATAGTGGGACCAAGCCATTACTAAAGGAGTTCTCATTTGGTAATCTCTTTTAGAACTACTTTTAAGGGGCCAAATCAGGATGAATTTTGTCCCCCTCAGTAAGATACAACTGACCTGTATCTTAACTTCCAACTGATAGATCAGCCTTCTCCACAGTGGTACACATATATTATGTCATATAATTTTTTTCAATAAATTCACACAGCACAAGAACAAAAAGTATATAAAAAACATTCTAAGTGAAAATGCTCCTTCCTACCATTTGGAGAGGGGGAAGAAAAACAGGGAGGGAGGTGGGGAAGGGGAGAGTTCAGTTCTAAGTATTTTAAAAATTTTATGACTTTTTTAAAAGCATGATTTAGAAGTTCATTTCCAGATTCATATAGATTTGTACTCATCTTTTCATTGCTGTCTTGTAACCTTAATTGCAGCATATTTAAAATATATGGTCTGGTCTGGCCGGGGTGGCTCACTAGTTGAGCATCGACTCATGCACCATGAGGTCACCGGTTCGATTCCCGGTCAGAGCACATGCCGATCCCCAGTGGGGGGGTGTACAACAGGTAGCCAATTGATGTTCTCTTTTATCCATGTTTCTATCTCTCTCTCCTTCTCCCTTCCTCTCTCTCTAAAATCAATACAGAAAAAATATATATTTAAAAAAAAAGGAGTTAAGCAATTCTCTAGTGTTCAATAAATAACTTTTGGATTTTATACAAAATGGTATTTTGTTCCAGTGTAAAGAAATAGCTGTAAAAACAGCTAAAAGTAAAAGTGAGTTATTTTGTATTATTCCAAATAAATGATCTATTTATTTATTTATTTATTTATTTATTTATTTATTTTTATCCTCACCCGGGGACATTTTTCCATTTTTTGCACAGATAGAGTGGGAGGGAGAAAGGAAGAGAGAGAGAAACATAGATGTGAAAGAGACACATCAAGTGGCTGCCACCCGCATGACCAACCAGGGCCGGGGACAAACTGCAACCGAGGTACATGCCCTTAGTGGGAACTGAACCCGGGTCTCTCCGGACTGCAGGCCGATGCTCTAACCGCTGAGCCAAACTGGCCAGGGCTAAATGATCTTTTTAAAATAGCCTTTTCAATTTTTGGCTTCCTCTGTAAGATTCTAGTGGACTTGTGATTTGATGTGCAATGTGATTATAACTATATGTTTAGATTTCCTGCTTGGATAAGCATTTAATACAAATTCACATAGAACTTGAGGAACAGCTGAATCTGTTTTTAAATGTTAGGTCAGGATGATTTCCACCACACAAATATTTTTGCAAACATAGTAACTTCAGAGTCCATCCTTTGTCCACTCATATGTTTGTAGGTCACTATAATCAGATATGGAAAGACAGTTCTGACACAGTGAGTAATGAAGAACAGACCCATTGGTTAGAAGCAGAGACTGACACCAACTGTCAGGTTCCAGTCCTCACCCTGCCACCTGTCACCTCTGATGAGCTACCTAATCTCTGTGGGCTTCCATTTCCTCCTTTACAGAATGACAATGAGAGTATACCTACTTTTAGGTTATTAAGAGGATTGAAAGAGTCAATACCAGTAAAAAGTTTAGATTAGAGGTTAGCACATCAATGCTCACTGGGAATGAACTATTATAACATCTCAATTTGGGGAAACTTCAAAGTACATATAATTTTTTACTTATTAGCGTCTACATACCAATAACAAAATTAAAATTATACATATTTATCTATCGTAAAAATAACAAAGACTAAAAGAACAGGAAGAAGCTTCATAAGACAGGAAATATATACACTACAGTTTATGTGACATTCTTAATACAAGTACCTTATTTGCTCCAAACTGCACTCTGGCTTTGCCTTTGACTAGGGTGGCATTGATCTGCATGATGACCGACTCGATCGAGTAGGCACTGCTCCAGCCCTGCAAGGAGCAAAGAGCCTTCTCTAAAGCACAAGAGTATTTCTGATTCCCATTTAGGAAAGCTTCACAAAATGGCATGTAACAGCTCAATGAGAGCAAATTATTAAGATGTTTGTAGTCAAGAAGTACAAGAAAAGTTAAACTATTTCCAAAATCCCTCTCTCACACACACATGCAGACACTGTTTTAAATGCCAAACATGAGCAAATTATAACCTTAAATAAACTGACTTCCTATCTTAACACAGATAAAACAACCAAGTCATTTACTGGTTTACATAGCTTTTTCATTATTAAAAGTGGCTGCTTTAAAAAGAAAAATTTAAAAAACAATGAAGTAGGTGCTATTGCACCAGAGCTGTCCCACTCCGAGACTGAGTTACATAAATAATCAAGCCACTGTGGAGGGCGCAGACTGTGAGTATCATAAGCAGAGAGTCACCTGTTTTGTGAGGAGTTCCATACATAATGCGCCACCACCCAATACGTACCTTAAAAGAAAACAGGAATCATAAAAAATTCTCTAGATTTCAGTATGCCTTCTTAATTTTTCTAATACCATTACTAAGAAAATATGCATGTATCTAAAGATTAGAAGAGAACAGAAAAAATGAAAACAGTTGTTAGGGTTACAGGACTATGGGAAATCTAAAAATTTGAATGTTGCCCAGCCAGTGAGGCTCAGTGGATTGAGTGTTGACCCATGGACTGAGAGGTCCCAGCTGGATTCCTGGTCCAGGTTGCCCAGGTTGCCCTGGTCACATGCCCAGGTTGCGGGCTCAATCCCCAGTAGGGGGCGTGCAGGAGGCAGCTGATCAACGTCTCTCTCACATCAATGTTTCCATCCCCCTCTCTCTAAAAAAAAAACAAAACATATTTAAAATAAAATTCTAATGTCATCGCTCTAATACAGTCGTAATTAAAAAATTAATAATGGTTCTTAGTAACAGAATACTTACAGACTTTTCAGATATCAGAAACTAAGAACTTAGTCCTAAATATTCCAGAGAATGGGGGCAGGAGAATTCATTTCCTTAGAAGGCATTCAAGTGTTCTATTCATCTGAAAATTTCTCTGCCGTCATATTATACAGCCAAGGTTTTTCCCTCTAACACAAGCAATACCTTTATCATATCTGTAACAATGAACATCTGCAATTATGTTTTCAACTGTCCTTATTCATTGTGTTGTGAGGATCCAATGGTTCTGGCCACGGAGCCCCACTCTGTGTGACCCCTCAATCTCTCCTAGTTCTGAGGGCTGTTCTTGAGCCAAAGATAACTTCTGGGGATTTTCCAGATCTCTCTGAGGAAATCATTACTTAGATCAAGATTCTTCATCGTTTCTCAGCCTTTTGGCTAAGATCAAGTGTAAATCAAGATTCTTCACCTTTTAACACTTTCTCAAACAAATAATTTCATTTTTCCTTTAATGTTATTTTAAACTCAAAAATACATTAAATATCATGCCTACAAATAAAATCAAGGGAATGATAATTATACAAGAAAAACTATAGTAATCTTGAAAATACAAAAGCTAAGACCACTGATGAGGTCTATGTGAAAACTGAGTCACCACAACTTTCTTTGTCCTCCAGACTTTGTCTTTCCTGTGCCCAAGATTCCTTCTGCTGCCTACATGTCCAAATGCCATGCCCCCTCCCCGGGAAGATTCTAATGCACACTATCAAAGAAAAGATCACTTACACTTACCCCCCTGAGAGAACAGGTAATACCACTCGAACAAATGGAGGATCAAATGGAAAATTATCCTAGAAAGCAAATGAGCAAATTTAATTAATTTTAACAACATCCTTAATATTATATTATTTAGAAGATTTTAGTCTATAAAGAATGTGCACATTTATTATCTGATGATGCATGAGGGCCATAATAGTAGAAATAGTACCAAAAAATAAAGTGGAATAAAATCCAAAGCAAATAAAAATGAAGTTAAGATCACACCCAAACAGAGCAGCATTTTGTTATGAAATGTCCCCCTTCCAGTAGAACTATATAAAGGAACAGTCCGATAATCAAGACTAGGTAATTTGAATCAATCCTCTGGGAACTAGAAAAGGTGGACAAAAGGTGAACCATTCCAGGGCTAAGATCAAGAAGAAAAAGGAACCCCAGAGAATGGGGCCCATTTTTTACCCCTTGGGCTTTCTTTCCATTACAGAAGAGGAAGATGAAAGGTTAAGAAGCTGAATAGGCCTGGCCGGTGTGGCTCTGGTTGAGCGTCGACCCATGCACCAAGAGGTCACTGGTTCGACTCCAGTCAGGGCACGTGCCCAGGCTGTGGGCCCAATCTCCAGTGGACGGCGTGCAGGAGGTGGCCAATCGATGTTCTCTCTCATTGATGTTTCTGTCTCTCCCTTTCCCTACCTGTCTCTCTAAAATCAATAAAAAGAAAAAAAAAAAAAGAAGCTGAAGAGGACTCAGACTCATTGGGTTGGGAGGCAGAGCTTGGAGTTCAAGGTCCACTGAGTAGAGGCCTTTAGTTGGGACCCTGAAGGACAAACTGCAAAGTACCATGGCTGAGAGGGAAGAACGCCCTGCTTTCTATCAACTCAACCCCCAAATGATTCAGTGACCCTGGGCTGCTGGTGTGCAAGCCCGACAGGGCAAGTGTGAACACTCTCTGAAGAAGAGTATCATTCAAGGCTTCAAATCAGCTCCCTAGTCTTTTGTGTGGAATGTTTATCACTAAAATAAGTTATATGAGACCAAAAGATGAAATAAGATTTAACAAAAGACTTAAAACCACCATTGTAATATTTAAGATTCTTTTACTCCAAGGACCAATTTTCACCCCAGTGGAGGGGTGATAATGCCTCTACTGGGAATGCATGCCCTAAACAATATAATTTAGTTTTACCTACTTTTGAGCTTTATAAAAATGAAATCATACAAAATGTGCTTCTTTTGCTCAACATGTTTAAGAGTCACCCAAGTTGCTGCATGTAGCTCTCTTCCAGTTCATGAACACCAGGTTCCCCTCCCACTGGGGCCACCATACCCAATGCTGCTCTGAGCAGGCTGCACCTGGGCACTCATTTCCTGCGAGAATTCCTGAACCACGGGCACCACACCGAGAAACACCAAACTGTTTCCCAAAGGCACTGCACGTCCCCACTAGCAGCATATGGAGTCCCGCCACAACGTTCTTACCTTAAAAGAGAAGTTAAGCAAAATATATTCTATGCCTTCTTTTTCTTTTAAGATCTGAAGATCACTGTGCAAAGGACTATCAGGATCAACCCTAAGAATTACAAAAAAAAAGTCAGAGATTTTTTTCTAACTTCAAAAAGGAACCAGCCCAAGAACTAAAACAGAGCCCCTAGGGTAAGTTCCAAACAGACAAGTCTAACACTGTCCTATGAAAAACAAATCACTGTAACCTCCAACTCACTGGGATTAAATGTTCAAACAGAGATCACAATTTTCAAAGTCTATTCTCCTAAGGGCATTCAAAGTTAGCAGTTATTCTAAAGGAAATGGTCAGATGTACATAATTTTCTCAAGGACTCAAAAAAAAAAAAAAAAAAAAAATGAATCTCCTTCTCTGAAACTGCCTTTGACAAGGGATTTTGGAAGATAAATTTGCCATGGATGAGATCAGAAAGAGGGAATTCACTAACAAAACCTAAATGTGTCTAATAACCGTTCTATAGATTCGGGTCTGACTCAAATCCCTTATTTCCAATATAAGCTGTAACAGTCCATTTCACCAAGTTATTAACTACACTTTTGTGTCTAGACACCAAATACACTTGTCTCACTAATTCCATGAAACACTATATCCCACAGCTGGCCCTCCTTTTCTCCTTCTTCTTTCTCACTTTACTTATTATTAAATTTAAGAATCAGCTTGTTTTAACACCCTGAGAACTATCAGAGAAACAGGGTCTAAAGTTCTAAGTGAAAACTATGGTTATAAAGTATCAAATGAGGAAGGAAAATCCGCTATGACAGGCTGCCATCACAATCCTCACTGAGAGTGGGTTAGCAGGAAAATAAGCCACTTACTTCTGAAGTTTAACATGCCAGTCATATAAACTGTCATTTATGAGTTCCACTGAATAAAACCCTGTAAATATACAATGTGTGTTAGTTACTCTTCATTTGATCTTACAACTATTACTCTGCTGTTAGTGTACACACTAAATAGCCCAAGAGGGGGTGGGGCTAGAAATGTTGCTATTAAAACACAGAACAAAGATATATTGTAAATATTTTGCCACTACAGTTGACTATAGATAATTAAAGCCACTAATAAAGAGGCTTCTTTAACGAGTTGAGAAACTACTTACCCATTAACTGAATGGGAGGAAGAAATTATGCAAAATCGTATGTACTTAAGACTTTTCTTCCATGCAAGACAGGCATTTCTATAAAAATGGAATCCCTGTACATACATAGTTTTATAATCTTTCATCAACTTTCTGGAGCATCTTTCCAACTTAGTACATAGAAATCTATTGCCAATTTTCTTACTAATTCTATGATAATTTTATAGATAAACCATAATTTAACCAATTCCACCCTATATTTGATATTTTTTATTATAATTTTTTGCTACTACAAACAATGCTGTAAAAACAAGTGGTTAACATTTAAGAGTAAGTCATTATTCAAATATTTAACTGTATGCTATTAGGTTTCTTACAAGTTTTTCTTACAAGAAGTCTAGACTTCTTTTTAGACTTCTTGTAAGAAAAACTGTTAGGCCCTGGTTGGTGTGCTCAACGGTTAGAGTGTCGGCCCGCACACCAATCTCGGGTTCAATTCCCAGCAAGAGCACGTGCCTGGGTTGCAGGTTCGATCCCTGGCCCAGCCCTCGTTGTGGTCGTGTGGGAGGCAATCTATTGACATCTCTCTCACCATCAGTGTCTCTCTGGAATTGAGAAGAACATCAAGACGAGACAGTGAGGATGCTGTGCTCCTTACCGGCTTTGTAACTCTGCGACCTGTATATGTCCCTGAGCTCTTTCATGAGCCTGTCTGAAGCTTGCACAGACCCAGACACTGCGCCCTGAAACATAAAATCTACCGTGAGCCGCAATCTGCTGAGTCAAATAATAAAGAGTTCTGGTACTTGAATCTGAAATAAACGTTTACAATGAGATTTTTTAAATGGATCACCAATTCACATTTTAAGAAGTCAAAAAAGTTAATTCAATTAAATCAAAGAGTATGACGTTTCAAGAGGACCATAAGATTGGGGACAAGTCTGGTTCATGTACTATTTCTTATCATCTGTTTTAAAAAAAAGTCTAACCAATATGTCCAGATCACCATGACCCTTGCAAATAGCATAGAACTCAGTATGCGTCTATTTCAAATTCTACCAATTTTTCTACTTAATATTTTTAAGAATTTATTTTTTTAGAGTAGTTTTAGGTTCACAGCAAACTGAAGAGGAAAATTCAAAGATTTCCCATAGAATGGTCCCACAATGCACAGTCACCCACATTATCAACTTCCCTCACCTGAGGGTACATTTCTTACAACTGATGAATTGTAACAAATAGAGACTGCCCTGGCCAGTTTGGTTCAGTGGTTAGAGTGTAGGCCACGGACCAGAGGGTCCCAGGTTTGGTTCCCGCTAATGGCATATACCTCGGTTGCAGTTTGTCCCTGGTCCCGGTTGGGGTCGTGCAGGTGGCAACCAGTCGATGTGCCTCTCTCTCTCTCTCTTCCTCCTTCTCTCCCTCCTGCTCTATCTGAAGATAAAATACAAAAAAAAAAGTCCTCGGGTGAGGATGAAAAAAAAAAAAGAAAGAAAGAAATGAAGACTGACACATCACTGTTACGTACAGTCCATAGTTCACCTTAAGGTTCAGTTTTGGTGCTGTACATTCTATGGGTTTAGACAAACGCATAATGACACGTATTCATCATTATAGTATACAGAGTGGTCTCACTGCCCTAAAAGTCCTCTATGCTCCCCTTAGTCATCTTTCCCCCTCCCCAAGCTCTGGCAGCCACTGATCCTTTTACCGTCCCCACAGTTCTGCCTTTGCCAGAATGTCACATGGTTGGAATCATACGGTGTGTAGCCTTTTCATGTTGGCATCTTTCACTTAGTAATATGCATTTAAGGTTCCTCTGTGTCTTTTTATGTCTTGATCGCTCATTTCTTTTCAGCACTGAATAATATTCTGTGTCTGGGTGGACCACAGTTTATTTATCCATTCACCTGTGGAAGGATATCTTGGGTGCTTCCAAGTTTTGGAAATTATGAATGAAACTGCTATACACATCTGTATGCAGGTTTTCATGCAGATGTAACTTTTCAATTCTTTTGGGTAAATATCAAGAAGTGTAACTGGGGGATCCTGAATCCTGCGGGAAGAGCGTGTCCAGCTCTGCAGGAACTGCTGACTGTCTCCCACAGCGGCAGCACCAGGCTGCCTCCGTCAGCGGTGCGCGAGGGTTCCTGTGGCTCCCCAGCTCGCCAGCCCTTGGTGGTGTCAGTGTCTCTGAGTCTGGCCATTCCAGCAGGTGTGTAGAGGCCCTCACCACAATATACTATTAACCAAACACACTTTCATCCATCAGACCATGAGCGAAAATGTGACACTGAAGGTCTGGTTTGCGACGTGAGAAACTGAGACCACTTTGCCTCCATACGACTGGCCTCAGCTCTTCTCAGTGCTGGGCCTCTCTAAAAATAAAAATGCCCCAACACTTATACTAAGACTGAGCACAAATGGAACTACTTATCATAAGACAAAAACATGTAGAATGCTTTTTGAATAAAAAAACGATCATATAAAATTTTTAAGGATAATGGCCGCACAACACTTCAATGTTGTGGGTTTACAAAGATATTGTCTAGCTGTGTGACCTTGAATACGTGACTATGGGGGCTTAAATCCCAGTGTCTCGTGTACAGACCCGGAAGGATACTTCCTCCCGTAGCTAAGAAGATTAAATGGGAAGGTGTATAAAGTTCAAAGTAGTTAGTTTAGTGTCTCTCAAGTGAAAGTGTTCAATAATCTGTAGTGATTTTAACTATAACATACAAACCGAAAACAGTGAAGATATAGAAAGTATAGTAAATATCAGTAATTTAGATGCCACAAAACAAAATTTTAAATAATTAAGATAAGGGCTGGGCTAAATGCTCTAAATAGATTTGCGCTGAACTCAGGTGGTAAGAACGAAGGGGGAGTGTGCTCCCCCTGTATACAGCTGCGGGGCACCCTGGGTAACAAGTCATTGCCTGAGTTTTAGACTCTGTGCCCCAGACAAAGCAACGGCTCCTCGGATCTCAGGGGCTGATGAACGGCTCTAATACAAGGAAGTGAGTAAGTAGGTCGTAAGTGTTCAAACAGACAACTAGACCTTCATTTGATGTTTTGCTACTCTGTCTGGGCATTTTATAGACACGATTCTCATTGCTTCTTCAGAGCAATCATCCAAAAGGTTCATATCGTCCACATTTTAGAGTGGAGGAAACTGAAGCCACGTAGGTGTGTCTGTCACCAAAGTGTTCATTTCACACCATCATGCTACTTCACATCAAAGAGATGTTAGGTTGAAAGAAGAAATTACTTTTGGTTTAGCCAGGGCAGCGCGTCATGGAGAAGAATTTGTATTGAACGTCATAGGAGAGACTGGATTAAAATACACAGAGCCCAGAAGAGGAGGGTAGGCAGAGGAAACAGCATGAACAGGTTGGAAAGGAGCAGGCACAGGAGGGGATTCCCAGATATAAAAGGCAGATGAACAGGGTGGAAAGTGGCTATAAACAGATGATACAAAATAAATGTAAACAAATAAATAAACAAAAATACTAGGGCAACAAAACATACGGCTGAATCGACAAGGCAGAGATGGAGAAGGGTAGCTGAGGTTGGCTGACATCTTAATGAATTTCCCTGTATTTACATTATTACCTATAGTTACTTAACCACATAAGACCAGGTTCCAGATTTTTACACATACATTTAGATGGTCTTGCCTTTGAGTCTTCCTAATTTTCTCTAATATTGCCAAATTTTCTTTTTCAATTCCTTCATCCTCTGACTTTTTTCCACTAATAGGCTCCTCTTCCTTCATCTCATAGTGATCCAAGTCTTCTATATCCTACAAAAATTAGAAAAAAATTTAGCTTATGTAAGCTTATGCCAAAAGTTAAATTATTCTAGACTCAAGAGGGAAGAGAGAAGAGAGAACACATGTATTCTACAGGAAGGGATAAAAAAGCCTTCAAATTCCATTCAAAAGGTTCCCTCTGTTTATATCTTGTTATAAAACTAGAATCTGAATAAAGCATATTTGATAGCTATTACCAAAAAAGCCTCTTTTAAATCTCCTATTAAGAGGAGATTTGAAACAGTTCAGCATCAAAGTATTAAGAACCTTAACTGTTCATACTTTGTTCTGGAAACAACTTGCTATCTCCACTCTTTCCAGCAAACTAACTCACTGTGATTTCTAGACTAGGTCAATGACCACTTCCACCCAGACTCAGTGGTCTTTTCCTCGGACCCCCAACTCTTCACCCCAGACCCTGCCTGTGTTCATGCCTCATGGAGCTCCCTCCCCCTGTTTGCACCTTTTAGCCCTAGTCTTCCATCGAACACTGTCTTCAGGGCTCCCACAAATGCCCTCAGTCTGAATCTCCTCCTCCCACACTTTCAGCCTCAGCCACATTCCTCTCCACACATCTCCTCCACTCGAGGTCTAAGCAGCACGAAACGAAATTCATCCTTACCATCTTTTTAAAACAATATCTCCGCCCGCTATTCTCTGTGTAAAGCCTTGCTATCAACAGTCACATCAAACATAGTTTGTCTCAAATTCAAGACGTGTCATTTCTAGCCAACCAACCTTGCTTCTTCCATGACTCCAACACATCAGTCAGTCTTTTACTCCCAAAAGGACAGCATCCATGCACCCAAACACACCAGTGCTTAGGATAGTGCTGGGCCCTTTGTAACCACACAATTTTAGTTGCCTGGACTATCTTCTTTTCATCCACCCTAACCTTGGTGGTGTCAGTGTCTCTGAGTCTGGCCATTCCAGCAGGTGTGTAGTGGCCCTCACCACAATATACTATTAACCAAAACACACTTTCATCCATCAGACCATGAGCGAAAATGTGACACTGAAGGTCTGGTCTGCGACGTGAGAAACTGAGACCACTTTGCCTCCATACGACTGGCCTCAGCTCTTCTCAGTGCTGGGCCTCTCTAAAAATAAAAATGCCCCAACGTCTTATCCTAAGACTGAGCACAAATGAACTACTTATCATAAGACAAAAACATGTAGAATGCTTTTTGAATAAAAAAACGATCATATAAAATTTTTAATGATAATGGCCACACAACACTTCGATGTTGTGGGTTTACAAAGATATTGTCTAGCTGTGTGACCTTGAATACGTGACTATGGGGGCTTAAATCCCAGTGTCTCGTGTACAGACCCGGAAGGATACTTCCTCCAGTAGCTAAGAAGATTAAATGTACCTCCAAAGTCCGGTCTCCTACCTTTCTAGATTTCCCTAACTGTGGCTGTCTCTTCTTTACATTATCTTGTGAGAGGAAAAAGAAAGGTACATAAACCCTTTAGTACAATGTCTACTTCATTGTACACTGGACCCAGGTAAAAAGTTCACTGTTTTCACTCAAGTTAAACTGCATGAAAACATTAAAAACAAACTACCCCAAAAAATGTCATTCTAATTAGACAATATTAAGAATTCTTTTTCTCCCAGACTCACAAAACAAACAAACCCACAACTACTTCTTCAGTTCTAAGGCACTCTAAGTCCATTTTAGATTTAAAATTTTTCCAAATCAAGCCCTGGCTAGTTTGGCTCAGCGGTTAGAGCGTCGGTCTGTGGACCAAGAAGTCCCAGGTTCAATTCCAGCCAAGGGCACATACCTTGGTTGCGGTTAGTCCCCGGCTCCAGTTGGGGTCATGCGGGTGGCAGCCAATCCATGTGTCTCTCTCACATCGATTTCTCTCTCTCCACCCCCTCCCACTCTGTCTGAAGATAAGTGTAAAAATGTCCTCGAGTAAGGATTAAAAAAAAAAAAAATTACAATTAAAATTTTCCAAATCAAGAAAATAAGGTAATAAATTCAATTAATTCCAAGATGCAAAACAAAAAAAAGTGTTTTAAAACCAAGACCACAAATGCAAAGACCTTTTTATCTGGTCAATGTAGACACACAGATCTTCATTATGAAGTTTGCACTTAAACACAAAGCTTCAGAGCCTGAAACCCTGAAATCATACCAAGTTCAGTGCCTGTGGAATTTGTTCTGCGAAATTGTTAGCTGATTTTCAACATGAGATAGTTTTATTATTTCTAGTGAGCAGTCTCTGAAATGTTCTCTAATTCTTTTATTCAAACACAGAACTTTTGAAACTTAGTTCTTCTACTTAAAAATAACCAATTACTGGTTAAGTACTGATTACTATTAAATGTAAATATTATTTTAGTGCTAAATGTTAAGAGCTCTTATTTTCCAGAAAATCAAATCCAAGACATCAGATAAGCAATTTGCTCAAAAGCATATACTAAAGGTAAAGCCAGATTTTAGAAATTATATTAAATTCCAAAACCAATGTGCTTTTCAGTATTCTACACTAACACTAGTTTATAAAAGAGATTAGAGAAATTACTAAAATTTTCAAAACTGAAGGTATTGTATATAAAGCACCTACTTCAGCCATCTCTTCCTCATCTTCCTCTTCTGAGGTCACTTCCTCTGCTGTCCCATTCTGCAAGGGAAGAAGAATTTGCCAGGGCCACACAGAGCAAACACACACACTGAGCATATAAGAGGACGCTGGGGACCAAGCTATCAATCACCTGTCACTGTAATTCTACTAATTGAGCACTGGTTAAAGATGAAACATTTACTTTTAAATCCAGCTTTGATTTCACAAATATGTATCAGCTTTTTAATAAGAAACATGTTTTTAACAATTCAAGGTAATAGATGCATTAGGAATAACAAAGGCAACTAGTCAAATATAAAACAACTCTTAAAAATGTAAAGACATTCTAATTTAAAATTAAGAAAACATCTTACACATAAGGCTACGTGTATAAGGTCAATGGCTTATTTCACTTAAAATAAATATCCTAAACCATGACTTCCTTAAAATATCTGCCTTTCCAATTTTGAAAAGCCTGAATCTTTCCATAAATTCAACTGCCTTACATTTTAAAAGGTCAAATGTGTTAAAAAGAAACCGATACAGCACAAAACTGAAAATTATAAAATGAGAATCTCACTGAAGCACTATTTTTGTTCTGACAACTGCTATTTTCCACAAACTACTTCTCTCCTGGATACAAGTTATTGCTCCCTCGCAATGACTCTGAGGTTTCAGGAGGCCCTACGTGCCTAGTTTTGGTGGAGTTCAAAAGGACGAGTTCCTGGACCAGAGAGCAGTTCTCCAGGACACCGTACATAAAGTTAGTAGGATTCCCCAGGGATTTCTTGCTGTATTTGCTCAACCACAGCTCTCTCAGAGGAGGCCTACTCTGATGGCGTCTCATGAGGGTGCCAGAATCAGAGAGAAAAAGACAGACTGTTTAATGTAACTCCGTGCAGCAGCAAAATCTCTTCCAGCACCTCCCCATCCACATGCACAGGTGTGCAAAGCGGGAGAGAAGAGTGACAATTACTGAGGACACTCTTATCAATAATTGATACTGCTCAATGGGATAGCACATCTACCAAATGTTTGAAGAAAACTTGCAATCTGATAGAAAGACACCAAGTGGAACAAGCAGAACAAGTGATCTGAAGCATTATTAATGAAGGAACCAAAATAAAAAAATCTAATTGGAATGCGTAGCAGTAATTGAGAAAATGTTGCATCCACAAAATATAAAAAGATTACTATGAAAAGGACAAGAGAATACTGAGAAATCAAAGAACCCCCCCCTCAGAAAAAAACAAAACAAAAACAATAGAAGGGCCAGAAAGCACAATGGACGTCAATGAACAAAACATTTACCACATTCCCTGAGAGTGAAGAAAAGGACACGGAGGTGGGGGGAGGGAGATGGGAACAAGGGATGAGTAAAGGGACATGGAAGATAGGAATACAGAGATCTCATATGTATCCAAAAGACAGAGGGAAAGAAATGAGAGACAAATGTTGCCCTTAGAATATCAAGTAGCTCTGAATGCCCCAAAGGAATATTGAAAACTAAAACCCTGTATTTGTTTAAAAAAAAAAAAAAACACACCAACTTCCAGAAAGAAAAAAATAAAATAGCAAGCAAGAGTAAGGATCAGACAGGCATCAGATGTTTCACTTATAACAATGAACACTGGAAGATAGGAGTGTAAAGAGCATCAAAGAGACTCAGTTACAAACTGAAGCCACATCTGTGTATTCACCTGGGTCCTTAGCACCCACGCAGACAACTTCACACAGAGTCTGACACACATCTGTTGACTGAATGATAAAAACAGACACTGAATATTCAAGGAACACCCTCCATACACATCCCACAAGGATGGTTCAAAACTAGGAACTGTCCTCATGTAAGTGATAAGTTGTGTTTCATCCCCACATGAAATTACATTCACAGTCACGAAAAGCAAGGTAGATCTACGTGCACTGTGTCCGTGGAATCTTGTTAAGTGAAAAACCGAAGTTGCAGACATTCCAGAGAAGGAAATTTGAACACAGATTATATATTTCTCCCGATTTTTCTCTTTCCCAAGGCTCCACTAGAGTTACAGTGAAGAACAAACACACAGTGATTAAAAAAGAAAGGCGACTAGCAGCAGAAAAGAGATATCAGTCGTGCAACAAGACAGTAAACGGAGGTGTGGTAAGTGACAGAGCAAACAAGTGTGGGTACGGAGTAGGTTTGGGTACGGAGCACCCTGCAGAGGGGCTCTAGACCCCGAGACACCGAGTGCACCAGATAGCAGGCATGGTGGACAGGGCTGAATGCAGACATTGACCAAAAGCCTATACACAGAACACACTGTCCATAAGCAGAACCCAGGCAGACATGATTTCTGTCCAGAGAAATCTGAGTGGTTCCAGAATCATTTATTATCATACCAGGAAATGGTTCTGGGGGAGAGGGGCTGGAAGTCAGCTTAAATTCCTCTTACAAGCTATCACTTGACAAGTCTTGGCAACCAAAAACTCCCAATCAACCCCAAAGTACCTCTCTCAAATACAACTGAAAAGAGGAAGAAGAAAAAGAAATACATATATGAATGAACAACATAAACTAAATAGATATTTGAGAAAAGTCTTCAAAAAGAACAAGACCAAAATAAACTATTTCTCTAAAGTGAGTATTAAAGAGAAAATTGAGATGCTAGAGAGGGAGAGGACAAGAGTATCCCAGTGATTCCTTGAGGACAATGTACATACATTACATGTATAACACAAAACCAGAATGAACGCCATGAGTAAGGAACAATCAGAGAAAAAGGGATGCTCCTACAAGGTTCAACTTTGGAGAGGACCCCAGCATTCACTCCTTCCATGGTCCTCTCCACAGTAGACCTGGGCTGGCCCTGGGACTTACTTTAACCAGCAGATGTGGTGGGAACGATGCTGGGTCAGGCCCCAGTCTAACCCTTAAGAAGGCCTGACAGCTTCTACTTCTGTGCTCTGGGAAGCCAAAAATAAGAATTCTGAGTACCTTCCCGAAAAGAAAGAAACCCATGAAGAGGCCCTGCAGGATGAGGCACGTGGAGCGAGGGGCCATGTGGAGAAATAGCAAGGCAGCAGGTGTGAGCGAAGAAACCCTACTGGACATCCCAGTGCAGCCTCTGTGTCCAAAAGACCACAGTCCCAGCCATGGTCTGAATGCAGTGAGGCCAGCAAAAAACTGTCCAGCTAAGCCAAGTCAAAACACACAACCGTGAGACACAGAATTGTTGTTTTAAGCCATTAAGTCCTGGGGTAACTGGTTAAGCAACGATAAATAACCAAAACAAAAGTTATGGCTGTCCTAATAAAATTTCCAAAAGCTAAAAGATAAGAAAATCTTCCAGAATTCGAAATGAAAAGACAGTTTTGCCGTGGTTCGAGCACCAGCAGGTGGACCAAGGGGTCTCGGGTTTGATTCTGGTCAAAGGCACATACCTGGGTAGTGGGTTTTATGCCTGGCCCCAGTGTGGGTCATGTGGGAGGCAACCAATCAATGTGTCTCTCTCACATTAATGTTTCTCTCTCTCTTCCTCCCTTCTTCCCTCCCTTCCATTCTCTAAAAATCAATGGAAAAATGTCCTTGGGGGAGGATTAACAACAACAACAACAAAAGACAAAGAGATAGAATAGAAAGATAGTATCAGAGATACAAAGACTCAAGCAAAGAGATCTAAAATCCCATCAGGAGGCATTTCCAAATGAACAAAGAAAGAAAATGCAAAGTTATCACAAGAATATTCAAGAGTCCAAATTTTAAAAGGCCATCCATACTGAGCGGCTAAGTACGTGGTTGACACCAAGGCAGAGACAAACTCCTCAGAGCTCAGGGCAGAGATGAGGAAGACTCAGAATGGCACCAGGCTCGACAGCACCGCTGGCTACAAGACAACAGCACAGTCCAAAATCGAGGGAAAATTATTTTCAACCTAGAATTGTATATGCAGCCGAACTATCAATCAAGTGTGAGGACAGACCATAACAGCAGTTAATATGTATGGGGCATTTACTGTGCAGCATGCACTGCTCTAAATGACTTACATGCACTAACTCATGTCATCTTCAGAGCACCCCCAAAATATAGGTTCTACTAATATTTACCCCATGTTGCAAAAGGGAAATTGCTGCACACGTGACTAGGTAATTAGCCCGAGCTAATTCAGTAATGCAGCTTAATCAGCAGCAGAACCAAGAATCATACCAATGGTGGTTCGGTCTTACCTTCTCAGAAGTTAGAAGTCAGAAAATGTACTGCCCCTCATGCTTTCCCAGGATTTGCTTGAGGATATACTCAGGCAAGATGTGAAAGGTAAGCCAAGAAAGACTAAGGTCAGGAAACAACAGATCTGCTCTAGTCGAGGAGACATGAGAACTTCAAGGTGACAGGTGGACAACCAGCTCAGAGAGCAACCTGCCAAGGCTGGTGCAGAACCAAAGGCCCCAGAAGACAGGCAGTCTCACAGAGATGGGAGAGAGCATGAGAATTATTACTGTTATAAGAAAGACATTCCTTGTAACCCTGATAATTCCTTATAATATCTCCTACTTGGAGGAGACAACATTTAGGTTAAGCCTTACAAAAGCATAGATGGGCTTAAGAAGATAACATTCCAGGTAAATTTAAATGAATAAGCAAAAGCAAACCATTAAAGAAGCAACACACAAAAGAACTGTAGAAGAAAGGAAATATCACCATAGGAAACTACACTGTAAAGTCCTAATGATAAACAGTGATTACTCACATGACTACGCAGAATGTTTTAGGAAGGGGAGGTTGGTAGGTAAGTAGTACTAGAGTTAAAGCCTTATCTATTATAGTACAAAGTCAATGAATTATGACTAAATAGGCAAATCCAGAAACCCAGAGAAGGTAGGGGGTGGTGAGCTTGGAGGAGATACCATTGGGGTTAGGCCTTAAGAAGCACAGTAGGCTGCAGGCAATGGCACTGCAGGTGAAGAGAGTGAATCAGCCCAAGCAAACAACTGAAGAAGGAGCAGTTATGGAAACCAGCCCAACAACAGACCGTTGGGGGGGGGGGGGGGCAATTTTTTGTCTGTCATAGTAAATACCAGCAGCTCCAAAAAATGAAAGTTATTCTTAGCATCTACAGCAAAACAAAACAATTCAACAGCAAAAACTAACTTCTAAATAAGTTGTACAATAAATGAAGAAAAAGCATCCTAGTTTTACTTTTGCTTGAGACAACTGATTTTAGCTCTTGATCACCAGAGAAATTTTACTTTACCTGACCCGTGGGTAATGGTTGATCTAGCATCTCAACATCCAGGTGCTTAGGAAGGTTATATAATCTGCAGAGTTCACATATCAACCACTTCAATTGCTGACGAAGCTACAAAACACATTTCAGTAAATAAGCATTATGTTAAAGAGCCCTTAGAAGACAAAATTAATGCTATAACTACTGTAATCAATCCAGTAAGAAATGAAAAAAGTTTGTTACTGCCCAATTACAGCCTACAGATAAAATAACAGTGTTTAAAGAAATATTGTCAGGGCTGCTGGTATAAGAGAGCCACTACGGCTTGATGCAGTCCTACACCGGACACCTAGCAGAAGGACGTCAACAAAGGGTAGAGGAAGGAGGCTCCAGACATGGCCCAGTCTTCAGTTGCTAACTTCTTGTTTTGGAAATGTAACTTCAGACGAGTACATTAATATGTTATTGAGGCTACAAAACACAGAGGCAGTGTAGAATATATAAAATTATATATTATAAAATTATATTCCACAGTCATCTTCATTTGAAAGTATAGAGGTAAATGTGGTCCATAGACAGTCTTGGGATCTCGATGACCTGGAACGTGGTATCTCACTGCCTACGTTTGAGTCTCCCATTTGTAAAGCAAGAAAATTAGACCTTCTCATAATGGTAATAATTAAATGAAATCTCCTGTGGACACACTTGGCACTTAGTAGGGTCTCTGCATGTGTCTAAAACTGCAAAAAAACTCCTCAAGTTTCCATTTTTACATCCAGATTGATTTGTGAGCATATTTACTTTAAGTAAGTTAAATTATGTGCACACACATCTTTGTTTAAAAAATTGTTTTAAATGTTTAAGTTTAGCAATTACAGTTTAAGAAGAAAGGTCAATACATAGTAACTATGACCAGCAGCTAGTCAGACAACTTACTTCATTTGGTCAGGAACACTTTCCTGGACATGTCTGACCATGAAAAGAGATGAAGACAAAGAAGCAGGTATATGAAGTACTAGAAAACAGACACAGGATCAGGAGGAGTTAAACAAAACAAAGACAAGCCTTTCTAAACTGGACAATGGAGCAAGCAGGAGTGAAAAAAGCTGAGCTGAAAACGAGGATCGAAAACTATCCTCAAGCTTAGAAGGCAGCGAAGCCCCACTGCGGATTTGATCTCCATCCAATAAGCTCTGTTTTGCGCCAAGTACACAATCAAAATGAGGCAGGGTGGCCTGGCACAGACCCGGATACCCCAGCCCCCAGCACAGGAAGAGCTGCAGGAGCGCGGTGAGACAGGCAGCATCAGGTGGAATCATACCCCACAACAAAAACAGGGGGTACATCTTCCAGAAATTTCAACTTTATGATTCCCCCAAAAAGTGTCTGAGGGATGGGGGGGGACTAAGATCTAAGGGGAAACTTAAGAAATGTTTAGAAGGCAGATGGACAGGTCTTAGGAACTTCCTAGAGAGCTGGGGGGGGGGGGGGTTCAAGAAACACTGGGATGGAAAGGACTCTAAGCTAGTCCCCAGGTCCCAGGCTCGGGCACGGGTGATGAGTTCCATCATTTCCTTTCCCCCACTCACAGTCACAAAGAGAACTACTGAGGGAAACATGGTGGTGTGGACTCCAGGAGGCAGAGGAGTTTGAAAGTAGATGTAATCATGCTGAACAACCACAGCGCATCCAAGTGATGGTCCCTGTATCTGTGTGAGAGAGACATCTACGGGTTTGAAACTCAAGAGATAAATTTTAGCTATAGATACAGATTTAGGAATCCCTGGAATATAGGCCATGATTTAAGTAACAGGAGTACAAGAGATTACCCTGAGAAAGCACAGAATGAGAAGAAAGAGGCAGACCAAGGAAGAAGGGCTGAAGGAGACCAAGGCAGGGCGATAAGAGATAAAAACAGGAGACAGTGACCTGACAGAAGTCCTCATTAGATTATCAGTTCCCAGAGGACAGAACATGACTTGAATTTTGTACCCATCGTAGAGGCTCACATAGAAACCAGTTAATTAAATTATACAAAAACAAAAACTTTTCTGTGTTCTACTACTAACAGTTTCCTGTATTCACCAAGGGAAAAGTGTATAAACCAGCACAAATACACATTTTCCACAACACTGTACACAAGTGGCCAGTTTACAGACAATATTCTATGCCTTGCCTTTTCACTTAGAATGTCTTGGAAACTTGTATGAGCTCTTGTGAAAAGACTGGCTGCATCTTTGTTACTACGACATAATACTCTATCGTAAAACCATACACGATAGTTGTCATTTAACCAGGTCTTTATTGGTGGACATTAAGTAATGAATGTTGAATGGAGGAATGTTTCAACAAGGGATCGACCAACAGTATGTAATGCTACAGACAGGTCAATTTTAAGACTGAAAAAGGAGTCCTTGAATTTGTCAACTAAAGGTAAGATCTTAGTGCACGGTGAAGACAGAGCCCAGACTAACAAGTGAGTGAAGCAAAGGTGAGGAAAACAGCTTATTCTGTCAATAAATGAGGTCACGAGATAACTGGCAGAGCCTGTAAGAAAGAGTAGAGGGCGAGTTTGGGTTTCTTCTTTTCTTTTATGTACATACATTTAATTTTTTATAAAATTAGACCCAATTTTATATCCAGTGTCATTTCACTTCACGAGAATTTTTTGATGGAATATTTCAGACACTGAAAAATAACCCCACTCATTTCTACTATCACAAAACTTATACCTGTAGATCAGAAAAGGGGGCAGCAGTAGGGGAGCTGTCACCCCTGCCCTGTCCTATTGCCCCCTACTGAAGAAGTGAACATGTCCTCTTGCTTTCAATTTTTACCTCTATGCTTAATGGCTCTCCAGACTAGCCTGTACTTTTCATATATATTTTAAGGTTTGTATTGATATTTTAGAAGCAGAGGAAGGGAGAGAGAGAGAGAGAAGTATCAATGTGAGAGAGAAACATGGATTGGCTGCCTCCTGCACGCCCCCTACTGGGGATTGAGCCCATATGACCCTGATGGAAAATCGAACCCAGACCTTTCAGTCCATGGGACAATGGTCAATCCACTGAGCCACAATGGATGGGTGAAACTAGTCTGTACTTTTCAACTGATGTTCTTCTGTTCTTAATGTTAGGAACAAGTGTGTTTAAACCATGTATAACTTATTTTGACAAAAATCTGAGGTAAAACTCTACATCCCCAAATGGTCACTTCTCCCAATACTATTAATAGAATAATCTTTTCTCTTTTGAGTACTTTAACTCAATTTAATTTATTCTAAATACTCAGCTGCATGACTCTTTCTGAATGTCTACTGCCTTCTCCATCCAGTCCGGTGCCAGTGCTCAGTGTTTTACAATGATAATGTTAACTTTAAAAAATGATATAAAACTATATAGACTATGACCTCAACTATTTAAATATATATATAAGAGTACGTGTATTTTACTAGCAAGGGAAAAAAATACATCATGTCAACAATGGTTATAGCAGGTGAAGAAATTATGGAAGATTTTTGTTCCCTCTTTTAAATTTTACTAGTCCTGTCACAACAGTTAGTTATTAGTTTTATAATCAAAGAAAACAGGTTTTTCATTTTTTTGTAAAATGGAAAGTTATTATTATTATTATTTTTTTAATATGTCAGTAGTGGAACGATCCACCCTTTTTACTTGCAAAGGGTGAACAGAAAGCTACTATATTTCTCTAGGACATTTACAAAGAGTTTTCTTCACTTTAAGAAGAAACTGAATAAAGTAGATGTCCACTAAAAGTTACATTTCTTTATACATAAAACAAATGTTTTACTTGCATACGCAGGGCTTTCCTGCGTCGGAGCCTGCACAGCAGAGGCACCCCCTAGCGCTGGCACTGGCTTCACAGTCATAATTCCCCTCACAGCCACCTTGCGGTCCTTTCCCCCTTTTTCTACTCCCCACTTGGCCAGTGGTCCCTACCAAAATGCACGCTTAGTAAATAATGGTTAGAATTCACAGAAAAGATAATACTTAATTTTTTATCCAAATTAAGACTTTACCTTATGGGGAATAAAGAGAGAGAGAGAAACCAGGAAGTAAATATATTTTAAAGTCCTAAAACAAAAACAAAAACAAGCAAATAAAAAAACCTGATCTTGCCCTGGCCGATTTGGCTCAGTGGTTAGAGCGTCGGCCTGCAGTCCGGAGAGACCCGGGTTCGGTTCCCGCTAAGGGCATGTACTTCGGTTGCAGTTTGTCCCCGGCCCTGGTTGGTCATGCGGGTGGCAGCCACTCGATGTGTCCCTTCACGTCGATGTTTCTCTCTCTCTCTCCCTTCCTCTCTCTCTCCCTCCCACTCTATCTGTACAAAAAAATGGAAAATATCCTCGGGTGAGGATAAAAAAACAAAAAACAAAACCTGACCTTTAGCTCCTCTAAGATTATGAAATAATCACTAATTAGGCTTTTACATCATGTTATCGCTTAACAATCAAGTTCTATAATATAGTGTTCGGGAGGGGAGAGGAAAGTAGCATGGCTTATTTTCTCACCGAATTGCTGTTCTTAGAATCTTCTAGACGTTCCAGAACTGATGTCAGATTTGGGTCATCAGAGTCCACAAACCATATTGGTGAAGAAGATGGATAAGATTCCTGTTACAGAGACATCTCGTTATACACACTTATAACAGACTAACCTGGACATGCAGTTAAACCACATCACTCAATGGTAAGATAACCACAGATTTAAGAGGAATATATCAGGGAGTGGGAAGGAGGGGATAGGGGTATAAATAAAATGTTGTGTTGTCCTAATCTGAGGTAACGTACGTCAAGGCTAATCAAACCAACTCTTTGACTGTTGTTGCTTAAGAAAAGTAGTTTCTGTCTTGTTGAGAAATAACTTTCTGTACTTATTTTCTACATGAATCCCCTAAGAGACCAATGTGTGACTCTAGACTGTATCAAGCAACAGCCAGTGGAACTGCCTGTCAGAGTGCTCAGTTTCTAAAATCTTTCCAAATGACTGGACATGGCCATCTCCAAGGATGGCATAACTTTTGAAAATGGGTGCACATACTTCTCATTGAAGGCTCAGAGGTATAATAGTTACAATTCTTCTGGAGACCTGATATGGGACACATTACTTTCACACTTTGCTGTTCAAAAAACGGGGAGCAAAGAATGAAATAAACTCACAGAACAACACAGGACCTTAATAAAATTCTAAATGTTCTGACAACATAAAGTTACAAGAAGGCAGAAAGAAATTGCTCCCTGCTAATAATTGTATAAGTCAACAACTAAGTATCTAACATGACCAGAGCCCCCAGACGCAGAGTACAAACACTAACAAAAATGCAAAATGCACCCTGGCCGGTTTGGCTCAGCGGTTAGAGCGTCGGCCTGCGGTCCCGAGAGATCCGGGTTCAGTTCCCGCTAAGGGCATGTACCTCGGTTGCAGTTTGTCCCCGGCCCTGGTTGGTCGTGCGGGTGGCAGCCACTCGATGTGTCTCTTTCACATCGATGTTTCTCTCTCTCTTCCCCTCTCCCCCTCCCACTCTACCTGAACAAAAACTAGAAAAATGTCCTCAGGTGAGGATAAAAAAAAAAAAAAAAAAAAAAAGCAAAATGCATACATACCCCTACCCCTGTGATTGGGAAAATTGGGAAAATGCTTAAGTGTTCCAAGCAGCAAATTACATCTAATCCAAACATTCTACGTGAACTGAGGCGGAGAAGACAAGGGTTAAAGAGGACTCCAGCCACCTAATGCTCAGGAACCACTGGGTGGTCTCCTTGGTTACAGCAGCCTTGGAAAAGGGACCCTGCTTCATCACTCTGGCTCTCCAGTAACGCTTTACATTTGGCAGCAACTATTTTCAACTCAACTCCTGACCACTCAACCAGTTGACATTTACCTAATACTATCCTTTTCCAGGTCTAAGGAAGTTTAACAAAAAAATCAAATTGCTAAGGGACACACCATTCATAAAATGGAAACCCAAGTCCCTTCATATATCTGTTCCTTTCAAGTAAGGGCATAAAAAGGGGGCTGAGGGAGGGTAGATAACAGGAATTTGACTCTATATTATAAATTGGTCAGATGAATGAAAACAATGACTCCTCTGGCTTGAAAGTACCACTTAGGTGCTTAACATGACAGTTCTGGTATTTCCAAAGAATTCTCCAGAAGTTTAATTTGGAAAGGTAATCTGTCCCAGGAGGACAGACCAAAGGAAAGGTCTCGGGCTCTTGAGTCAAGTTTCATTGATTATTTCGTTTGTATAACCTTAGCTGGGCTACTTTTTATCAGTGTCAAGACCAGAAACACAAAAAATTAAGAAATTGACAGCACTGATTTATTTCCCATGAAATGTTATTGTAAAGCATTTTCAAAATAACGTGTTCTTCAGCCACAAATGACACCATCACTTTTACATATAGAGAGAGCATTATCATTGCTACAGAGCTTTCCTATCCATGCTCATGGGGGGCAAAAAGAATTATCCATTTCATAGGAAAGCACAGTAAAAGTGATTTGCTTAAGGTCCCAACTACTTCACTTAAGGCCACAGCTACTAAGTAAAGAATAAACCTTTTTCTGTCCTGTAAACTCAGAGCTCTAACATTTTTAAATTTAGTACCTTGCTGTTGGAGGGGAGAGGGCCTTTTGGCAATGATGAATAGACATTTAATTAAACAAACAAAAAGTTCCACCACAAGTAGTCTAGCAAGTAGCACTCATGATTTATGCTACACAAGTAATAAAGTATGAGGGTTTTATTTGTTTACTAGCTAATTTACTTCTGGGGACGGGGTCTCTCTAAAACAGCAATTCCCTATCAAGAATTCCCAGACAGCGAGAAAAGGAGTAATGGAGTTGCCAAGTTATGGTAAATATTTCAAAAGGACTAAAAGAAAACCATAGAGTAGCCCCCAGTAAAGCTGCACAGTTTATTAAAACAAGCTGCTTTGCCTTTAGGTATGATCATAACAACTGGATGTTAGCAATGACTGATAATTAGAACTGTTTACTGAAAACAATACTTAGGTTTGCATGATAATCTTTCATATCACTTCCTTTTTTTATTACTAAAAATACTCCTTGAAGTTGAAAATAGCTCTCTTGCGCTTCATATTTAAGATTAGGACAAATGTATAAAACAGTGAATATTTTCATTCCATTCCCTTGGCCCAGAGAGTAAACATCTATGTTTTCTTTTTTAATTCTTAAATGTGTCTTTCATCTGAACTTGAAGTCAATTTACAGATTTCCTGTCAAGCCCTAAGTGACCCTTTATATATTTATGCACCATTCATGACACAAACTCTTGGTAGTTAGCTTACGCGATAGTTAACATTTTTGTTGAAATAGAATATAGCTAGAATGGTGACCATCTAGTCAACAGGGCAAAAACTTACTGAGCATTTACAAGGGGGAAGGTGAAAAGCGTAATTATAGATGACTGTCCCTTGTCACCATAAAAACAAAATAAAATATTGTCAAAAAGGACAAACACCCAAAACGATTACAATAGAACTTAAGAAAACATTAGCAAAGCAGTAAACGGGGAGGATTATTAAAGGGAGGAAGGAGAAATAAGTATCAGCATGAACTGCACAGGGCCCTGGAGGGATAGTCAGACCCGGAGAGGCGGGCTGGGGTGGGGCGAAGGGGCACTTTCCCAGGGGCCCGCGGCCGATGCAGGGGCCTGAACCACAGCAGCACGGGACCTTGGAGAGTCAGGAACGACGACGGGTGTGGGCGCCAGCGCAGGGCCGTCCACTCCGGCAGCGGCAAGGTGGCGAGCGGGGCTGGCACGTGCCTCGGCATCGCGCGTGCCCGCGGTACCCTGCGCTAGTCCCCCCCTCGTCCCCCGTCCTCGAATCCCCTTCTTGCTCCGTTTCCTAACGCAGGCCCCGGTCGGCGTCTCGGCGGGCGGCAGAGTCCGCAGCCTGCAGTGCGGAGGTCCGCGGGGCACTGCGGCGGGTGGCTCTGTGGTGGGGGGCTGCCTGAACCTCGGAGTCGCTCGGAGCCCCGCACCCCGCAGCTCAGCACCCCCGCCCCCGCCGCCCTGGGTGGCCCCCACCCTCGGTCCGGGGCAGCCCGGGGCTCCCCCACGGCCAGTGTGGTCAGCAAGCCGGCCCTGCCTTCTCCGGCGGACCCAGATTCCAGCCCCTTCTCCCACCGCCTCGGGCTCGCCCGCTACTTCCTGTTTCCCGTCGCCGGGAATCTTCTCCTCGCGGCCCGAGCTGCCGACCCCGCTCCCCGCGTCCGGGCGTCCGGGCGGCCGGGCCGGGTCTCCTGGGCGCGCAGCGCTGCCGGAGCGCCCGCACAGCTCCCCCGGGCCTCCCCGCGGCCCCGCCGCACCCTCGCGGGGGACCCTGCCCGGGGGCCGGCCCGGGACGCCGGCGCTGCCCCACCAACTTCCCTCCTCGGACGGCGCTCGACGGAACTGGTTTTTCCGGAAACACACCTGCTGCCCCGAGCGCACTCGCGGCGCTTTTCTCGGGCGGAGCGCGGGCCCGGCCCGGCCAGCTCCCGGGGCGCCGGCTGCGTGGGCGGGGGGCGCGCCGCGTCTCCGGGGCGAGCGAGCCAGGGGCCCCGCGGCCCCCACGTCGGCACCTGCGCGGCGCCCGCACCCCCGACGCCCGGCTGGAGGCGCGGCGGACGCCGAGGCGGGCGACTCCGGGCCTGTGTGCGCGGCCCGCCCGGACTCCCTCAGCCCGCGGCGACCCGGCCCCGCCGTCACTCCCTCAGCCCGCGGCGACCCGGCCGCCGACCCCGCGCCGCCTCCACCCGCCTCCGCGGCGGCCGGCCCGGGGTCTTTGTCCGCCCGCCCGCCGGCCCGCCCGCCGGCCCGCCCGCCGCCGCACCGTGATGTTGCAGTGCAGCGTGAGCGCCGAGGCCGCGCTGCCCGGCGGCCGCGCCAGGAACTGGCAGTGCAGCTCGTCCAGCTTCCAGCTCACGATGCGGAACCGCTCGTGGTTCTTGTCGAAGATGGACGCCAGGAACTTCAGCTCAGCCTTGAGCCCCGACACCGACATCCTCCCTCATCTCCGGCGGGGAGCCGGGCCCGCGCCGCCGTCACGGCCGGAAGGGGGTGAGGGCAGCCGGCCCGGAGCGGCCTTTGTAACAGACGCGGCCGGCAGGAGGCGGCAGCCCGCGGCTGAGGTGAGCGACGCGACTCCGCCCCGCCGCCGGCAGAGGCCGCCTCGCCCCGCCCCCGCAGCAAGCCCCGCCCTAGCCCCGCCCCGCGCGTGCACGCTGCTGAAGAGGGCACGCGACACCGATTGGCCTCCAGCAGAAGCCGCCCGCAAGCCCCGCCCACTCAGCAAGCCCCGCCCCACGCAAGCCCCGCCCCAGGCGTGCACGCGGCTGAGGAGGACCACAGGACCCTGTCCCGCCTCCGGCAGAGGCCGGCTGGCCGCCCCGCCCACTTAGCAAGCCCCGCCCCGCGCGTGCACGCTGCTGGGGAGGGCAACGCGACACTGCCTCGTTGCCAGAAGAGACCGCCCTCCCGCCCCGCCCACTCAGCAAGCCCCGCCCCGCGCGTGCACGCTGCTGAGGAGGGCAACACGACACCGCCCAGCTGCTGGCAGAAGCCGCCCTCCCGCCCCGCCCTCGCTCACGTAGTGAGCCCCGCCCGGCGCAAGCCCCGCCCCGCGCGTGCACGCGGCCATCGCGCCCCGCCCACTCCCGCCGGGTTCTGCCGCGCCCCGTACCCATGGAGACCACTCGGTCGGGTCGGGTCACGCTCCCCGCGTCCCCGCATCCCCGCATCCCCGCATTCGCAGCCGCACGCTATCCGCGTTCCTGTCCCTGCTGTGGAGCCTTTGCCCTGGTTCCCACGCTGGCCACAGCGCTCTCCGTGGGGCCGGCCCACAGGTCATCTCAGACAGGCCCTCGCTGACCACCCCCTGTCAAAACGGAACCCAGTCACCCAGAATCACTTCGGCACCTACCACTGTCCGACCCTCTCCCTGTTCATGTGTTCGTTGTCTCTCCCGACACAATGTCCTACTCAGAGCAGCACCCCCGGGACTGCAGCATCCCCGGGACTAGAACAAGGCCTTCACTGTGTGGACACCCTGGCCCCTAAGTGTCCTGTTCCTAGGGCCCTAGTGGTCTCTGGTCCCTCCGCTGGCGAAATACAGGGCCACACGGGAGACGTTAAGTCTACTGAATAAGAAACATTTTAAATGCTTTTATTTGTATTTACTTCTGAGATGTCATGTTCTAGGGCTTCTCACCCTTTGGGGGGGGGTCACAGAACCCTTTGAGAATCTAATAGAGGCTATGATCTGTCCTCCCGGGAAAATACTTCTGCATATACAGTGTATTACGTGGGGTTCGTGGCCCTGGCACTAGACACACCACTATGAACTGGCAGGGGGAGCAGAGGGGTTCCAGCCCTGAGCTCTCAGACAGAAATAACTGGGGTGTTGTATTGGCATCGTTGCTGGGTTAAGCACAGGAGAGGCTTGCTGGCTTCTTTTGCCTTCAGTCCACTTGGGACCCTAACAGGCATGGAAGTCACAGACAAGGATTTGGGACAAGGGAACAACCCGTACAGAGGTTGGCATGGCTGAACACAACATGCCTTGAACAGTTTATTTGCTCTATCTCTGCTTTATTTCGTTATCTCTAAATTGCTGGGAGAAAATAGAGAGCTTTATAAATTGCAAATACTCTGACTAGTTACAACCGTGAAGTTGCCACCAATAATTTCACAATTATTTTTTAAATATGTTTTTATTAATTTTTTTCAGAGAGAGAGATAGAAACATCGAGCCTCCTTCACGCCCCCTACTGGGTATCGAGCCGGAAACCCTGGCATATGCCCTGACCGGGAATGAACCAGGAATCGAACCAGGAATCGAACCAGGACCTCTCAGTCCATGGGCACCACACTGGCCAGGCTCACAGTGATTGAGCATCTGCTGTGTGCCAACCCCTAAGAGGGCCAAAAAGATAAATAGAGTCCTTGAATTCAAGAAGCTAAAAGTCTAGCATTGGAAACAAAATTCTGTTTCCTGGTTCTTTAGGCTTCAAATAACAGAAAACTGTGATTTAACTAACGTGGGTTAGAAAATACAGAAATGTATTACTTCATATAATAGGAAGTCCAGAGTCAGGGCAGGCTCCAGGATTGGCTGATTAGAGCTTCAGTAATGTCATAAAGAGCCCAGATTTCTTACATCGTCTTTGTCAGGATGAGAGCAAGGTAGCTGGAGCGATTCTCGTGGGCCATGTCCAAAAATGATAATATCCAGAGTCCGAAAGGACTACTTCTTCCATGTCTCCTTCCAACACATGGGACTTTTCCAAGAATCCACCCAACTGACTTCCTTTCTGTGTCATTGGCCAGAAAAGTGTCACCTGCCCACCCCTAAACCAATCACAGGTAAATGGACGGGACCCCTCATTGAACTCCCATCATCTGGTTTGGAATAGACATCGGGGGAGTCAACCACAGTGTCTGCTACAGACACATCAGGTCACATGTGACAAGAAGCTCAAAACTGATACTACTTATCAGGAGAGGAGGAAATTAATTCCATAAATTACCTGCATAAAAGTATGGCCATGTTCAGAGAGCATCCAAGAGCCTGGTTGATTATACAGTGCAGCAAGGGGCCAAGAAGAATATAAAACTGATGTTATCGGAGACCTGATTGTGAAGCTCTGAAATACCATGCCAGGGACTACAGTTTCATTCAGTGGGAGAATCACTGTTAAGGAGATTAATCTGGCATTAGTGTACAAAATGGATTACAGTGGGTTTAAAAACCGTGAAATTGCCACCAAGAAGGGGCAGGAAACCGAGAAACAAGAACATAGAAGAAGTCGCTGGGGGAGTGGAAAGGACGAGAGATCAAGGCCGAGAAAAGGCCATGAGCTCTAGGGATTAGGAGGTCAGTGGCGTCCTGAGGAAACGTAGGTGGAACAGTCATCTGCAGGAGCAAAGCAGAGGGCAGCGTTAGAGGGGGGTTTGGTTTTCAGTATAGCACAGACCCTGCTGGATTTACTGTGGAGCTCAGGCTTCAGGGCTCCATTTGCTCGCCCAGCCCCCACCCAAGTAAATATTAACCTTTCTCCCTAAACTGGCATTTGCATTTCTGAATTCTTTTTCTTGAAGAGGGCTCCCAAGATTGAATAAGCTTCTGGCTCTACAAAACCTGGATCCATACAGGCCATGAAAATGGAAGGTACAGGAGGGGAGAAGAGGCACCGAACCAGGGCCTGGAAGAGGAGGGAAAGGGCCGGAGAGGAGATACTCCTGGGAAGGAATTCACCTCCAGTGAGGATGAGGCGGGAAGAAAAAGGGGAAAACGCAAAGAAATGTTGAGTTTAGAGTGGAGGGCTGTTGAGAGACGGCATACTGAATGGATGACCTTGATTTCAGCAAGACAAGCTTAGGGAGGGTGAGACAGGTGAACACGGAAGTCAGAAGACAAGGGAGCGCTGATGAGAACTGGTTGAAAACTTTGACCTTGGAGTCAAAGGGTGAAGGACCCTGACAGTAACATGGGTGAGAGTCTGACAGCCTCTAGGAAGACAGATAACCTCAGCATGAAAGAAGGGGCGGGAGAAATCACAACTTGTGTGAAAGAACCCTGAACTTCAAGAGCTTTGTGGAATACTTCCCAGTGATTCCATATTCCATGCTGTTCTTTCCCAACATCGCCTGTGGGGCTGCTCTCGAGGCCATCTCTTTCATCAAGCCTTCCCTTGTCCCCTAAGTTGAATTTTTTTTTTTAATCCTCACCCAAGCATATTTTTCCATTGATCTTTAGATACAGTGGAAGGGCAGGGGAGAGAGATAGAGAAAAGAAGATAGAGAAACATCGATGTGACAGAGACATCCATTGGCTGCCTCTCAAGTGACCCTGACTGGGGCCAGGGATTGAACCTGCAACCCAGGTACACACCCTTGACTGGGAATTGAACCCACGACCCTTCCATTTGAGGGCTGACACTCTAACCCCTGAGCCAAACTGTCCAGGGCCCCTACATTACATTTAATCTCTCCTCTCCTCTAGTTTCCTAATACCTTCCCAGTCCCTGCACTTATTTCATTGCCTTGGTTACGACTACCTGGTTTCTTCTTTGTCTCCTCCTCTAGATTATCAACTGGTGGTCTCATTACCTCCCTATCTGCAGCACACAGCCCGTCCCCGGGATCTAGAAAGCATAAGTGATCCCCGAGGTACACAGTGCACCCAAAGTGAGAGCCATGAGACATCCTCCACTACAGAGACCGCAAGGAAATTGTGAGAGGGAAGCCGAGAGGACTGCTCCCTGTCTGACCACTGATGCTCTTGGCCTTGGGTCTGTTTGCCGTTCTTTCGAAGCTCCACCCCTGCCTGCCTTGGGCCTTTGGTGAACTACCCAAGGGATGAGTGATAAGAAAGCTACTTTAAAGCCCGGCTGGTGTGGCTCAGTGGTTGAGCGTGGACCCATGCACCAAGAGGTCGCTGGTTCAATTCTAGGACATGCCCTAGTTGTGGGCCAGATCCCCAAAGGGGAGCATGCAGGAGGCAGCCAATCGATGTCCTCTCTCATCGACATCTCTATCTCTCCCTTCCTCTCTCTCTAAAATCAATAAAGGGATTAAAAAAGAATACACACACACACACACACACACACACACACACATATATATATATGGATAAAAAGAAAGCTACTTTAAGAGGCTGCACAGCAGAGTAGAAAATCATGTTGGCTCACAGCCACACACTTGGGTCCTGACCCCAATTTCAACATTTCCGGGGCTAACACCTGTCTTTGAGCTTCCCTGCCCTCCTTCTTCACACAGAGAGATCGTGGTCTGAGACTTCCCTAGTTTCCCGGCGCAGTGTGTACCACTTTGTGTGCTGACCCCCGTTCTGGAAGAATGGGCAGCACCTTCCTTCCCCTGTCTTCTCCACCTCTGGTTTGATCAGAGTAAACACCCTGTTGTCACCACCAAACCAGCAGTTGACTGATCTCCTTGGGAGATTAAGAAATAAGAGAAGTTGTAAGATGGGCCAGGAAACTGGTCCTCCTGAAACAATTTTCCTTCTGGGGCCTGAGAATGGTGGAATCA